ACTTCGTTTAAGTGAATTGCAACGCAATGTCGTTTTGTGCAGCCCAAAACAACAACAACAAAAACAAACTTAACAGCCTTACTTTAAATGTAAATAAGTAGGAGTTCATTATTTAAGTTTAAGAAACTCTTAGAGTTGCCATATTTCAGACAACAAATTTCAAACAAGGGAACAAGGGGGAAATTATTTTTTATACTCTCAGGCATAATGCTATCATTTGATACAGCCAAAACGTGCCTCATCGAAATCACGGTTTAATCACCCTAGGTCCCTTTGAACCAAATCCGTTTCAGGATATTTGGAGGCGATCTAGCGATGTCCGTCCATCTGTCAGCTGTCTGGCTGGTACGCACTATAACTCTCGAAGGTAGTATCCGATTCGGTCTAAACTTGGTACATCGTCATTATCAAACTTAGATCGAATTCGGAAATGGACAATATCAGTTCACTCCATCAAGTACCTCACCCATAAAATGTCGAAATTTTCAAAAAATATATATATTTTACTGCACAGGAAGAGAAAGGATAATCCGATTTTGCTTCACCTTTGTAAACCCAAGTATTTGCATCAAGCCTGCATCAGTTTGCGAAAATTGACAATATCGATCCACTCCATCAAGTAGCTCCCCCACAAAGGGGAAAAGTTTTAATTATTTAAAGCTCTTATAAAATTTGATATAAAAGTCCGACTGTCTTCAAATTGCGAACATCACAATATTTTTTTAAACCCACTGGCTGGTGTGAAGATGGGATAATATCGGTCCACTCCTTCGGCCAACTCCACTACAAAGGGTAAGAATTTTGAATATCCATGAAGCTCATGAAACACGAAATTAACATCCGATTCCATTTAGATTTTCCACATTTGAATAGAGATCGGACCATTTCTTCTGGTATCTCCCCCACAAATGGTCAAAGTTTTGAATAAACAAAATGAACATAAAATCTGAAATAAGCTTCAGGTTCTCTTCATATTTCGCACATCCGATTATTTCTACTAACACAAGATCTGATGTGAAAATTGGATATATCGGTGCATTCCGTCTGCTACCTCCCAACAAAGGGTCTACATTTTGAATATCCATGAATCTCATAAAACGCGAAATTAACATCCGATTACATTCAGAGTTTGCATTTCTGAATATTTCTATCAACACAAGATCTGTTATCAAGATGGTACAGATCGGAAAATTCCTTGTGGTACCTCCGCCACCAAAGTGTCAAGATGTTGAATAACCAAAACGGTTATAAAATCCGAAGTAAGCATCCGGTTCTCTTCATTTTATACACATCCCATTATTTTTACTAACACAAGATCTGCTGTGAAAATGGGATATATCGGTCCATTACTTCTGGTACCTCCCACACAAAGGTTTTTCTGGTTCCTTACCCCAAGGGGCAACTTTTCAATGCTTTTAGCTATTTACGACTAAATACTTGTCAACAACCTAGTTTTGTGAGCTTTATTCTAAAAAAATTTTAAAATTCAATCTGGCAACTTCATATCCTGCCTACTACAACACAAAATTAAATAATAAACAAACAAGCAACTAGCAAAAATTATTATTAACAATTTCAACTAAAAATACTCACGAACTCCCACATAATCAAAATAGACCCCTCGAGAGAGAGAGAGAAAAAAATGGCAATCGGCGAATTAAAAAAACGTGTTGCGTGTCTAACCCCCATAAAAACAGCAACGACATCATCATCTCCATAAACTTTATCAGCAGCTGTGAGTAGCCGTTTTTCTGCACACTCCAACTATGCACAAGCTAACCAATAAAATTTCCCAAGCATTTAAGTGCAAAGATAAAACAAACGAACACCAACAACAACAACGAGAGATCGCCGGTCAATCCATAATCCCCCGAAATTTTAATTAAAAACTAAAATTGAGTTTTAAAACAGAATTGGTGTGTGGCACAATCACTCGGCATCATCAAACATTGCTCCCAAACCATGACTACCAGAAAAAAAAAAACAAAAAAAAAACGAAAAATCCAACAAAAACAAAACAACGAGACACGGGAAAGGGCAATGATGAAACCTTTTGATGTGAAATAAATTAAAAATTGTACTTATTTTTATGATGTCCGGAAAAATCACATTCCCTTTATCCATAACAACAACAACAGCAACAAAAAATGTTAGAAACTTTATCATGTCAACATATTTCACTCATCATCTGCATTTCAGTTGAAATTGCAATTGCCGGCAACAACACAATCACTCACACACACTCAGACACATGCAAAATGTAAATCTCTTTCACATCCAACAAAAACGACCATAAATCTCTAGGCTGAGCGAGAAAAAAATCGGCAACAAAAAATATTCTAAATATTACATGTATTTTTATAACCAATTTGAATAAATACACCGAAAGAAATTTTGTGGTAAATAAATAAAGAAAATGTAATCAAAGAGAATAAATAGCAATTATCGAATTTTTATACAAATTCAGAAGATTATTAAATCTGAGGTTCTTGTTGTGAGGAGATAAATAATGTATATTCTATTTTACCACTTCCTTGCTATACCCTCCACATAATAAGTCGTTTCGTTTGTAACACCTCGAAATATACACTTAAGACCCACAAAGTATATATACAGGATGAGATGAAAAAAATGCAGTCAACTTCAAATTGCTCTCATTTCTAAGCCCCTCGTCCGACAGCTGTTAACATTATTCCAGTGACAGCTAATTATATTTTACAAGTTTACAAGCGTACAAAAGCATTTTGGTGAGAATTTTCCAGAAAAAAGTTATTCGTGATGGATTTCAAGCGTGATAGTGTGATTTATTTATATTTCGCTGGAAAACCACAAGTGGCTATCGTTAGAGGACTCCAGCATTTAAATGTGAATACATCTTTTGAGTCTCGTACCATCGCTCATTACCGAGATACAGGTAGCGTAGCCCGACGTCAAGGAAGTGGATGGAACAAACCAGCAACATCAGCAGAAATGTTTCGAAAAGTAAAGATGTGACTTGATCGAAACCCTCGTCGCGGTGGCCAAAAAATGGCTCGTGAGCTGAACACATCCCAATATTTTATTTGGCAAATATTAAATAATGACAAAAAAAATTCATTGAAATTCCAAAAAGTGCATTAACTTACAAAGGAACAGGAACAAAGGAAGAAAATAGACTCAAAAGAGCTAAAGAGTTGCTTCGCTTGGCCGAAAGTGGTGAACTGCCGAATTTGGTTTTCTCCGATGAGAAATCATTCGCTGTCCAGGAGTTTGTAAACAAACGAAATGATCGTCTTTACTTGTCAAAGACGTCAGCTGAAAATGTGCACCTTCGGTTGGCCACCAAAACTCGAGCGCCGGCCATGGTGATGGTGTGGGCCGCCATAACAGCGGATGGTCGCTCTCCGATCGTATAAATGCCGAATATTATCGCGAAAATATTGTGGAAGATGTATTATAGCCTGGGCATGAAAACATTTTGGCCGCAAACCTTGGGCATTCCAAAATAACACAGCACCATCGTATTCAGCACGAGCCACCCAAGAAAGGTTACAAAATGAGATTCCTCATATATTTCTAGCGTACAATGGCCACCAAAATCTCTGGATAGCAATCCGTTGGACTATTGTGCCTGGAGTATTTTGGAAAACAAGGTTAGCACAAAAAAATACCAAAGTGTCGATCACCTCAAGCAAGCGCTTCGCCGGGAACGGGTCAAAATACCGCAGAGCAATGTTCGGGCAGCGTGTGACGGTTTCATTGGCAGTTTAAAGGCCATAATTCGTGTCAAAGGTGACCAATTCGAATAAATCTAAACTTATTCTAAAATTTGATGCTATTTCCGACATTTTTTTCTTTCATTCAATGAAATTAAAAAAAAATGTAAAAATTATGGCTTTTGACTTTATTGCAGTTTTTTTTTTAATTCACCCTGTATGGAGGTGGTACTATACTTGTTCGAAAAGTACTAAATTGTACTAATTTTCGATCGCTGTTTGTGTTTAGGATGGAGAGAGATTATTTTGGATATGTGTAATAAATGATACTAAATTTGGTATTGGGTGAAGCTGAAATCCTGAAATTTGATATTGAGGGGATTGTTGGTTTCTAGGGTTTACATATGGAGACGTTGAAACTATTTTGGACAAGAAAATTGGATGTGGATTCATTGTGAAATAATTTTACTAATATCCTCCTCAGTAAACTTCAAAAATAACGGTTTTGAAGAAATATTTGGGTAAAAGATAAACATTTTTTCATTATTTTTTCCAAAAAAGGAAAAACTTGAATAATTTATAAAACCTTAAAAGTCTGAGAATTTAGAACGACGCATGATGTTTTTATTCAAACTGAACAAATTGTGTATTTTAAGTACTAAAAGGGCCTAACACGAGCTGTTGGAACTAATCTAAAATTTTAAGGTTAACTTTTCACCGGCAAAGGATTGATTACCTGCTAGTAAAGAATAAAAAGGTTATCGCCGTAACATGTGTACATTCTTGCAGGTTTTGGAACAGAGCACTTGTAAATTTACTCTTGGAGAAAATTTGGCAAGTACTTACTTCCCTATGGTACATCCATTTTAAAATAAGGGGTGAGTAGAGTGTTTTGTAAGTAGATACTGCTGACAAAATGTGAGCATGTAATGTTACATTCTGCTGAAATATACTTTGGCTGGAAAACAGGGGAAGGGCCTCGGAAAAACCTAAATCGGGCGGCAAAAACATATGGTGTTCAAACCACAGAAAACCTGGCAAAAATCGGGATATGCATTTACGTGATCTGATATATATTAATTTTCAAATAATTTTACACCAAAATATAACCTAGGATTTTTTTCTCTCGGTGTATGATAACTTTTTTAATTTAACTCGACAGTAGAATTCAACACAGTTGGTTTTCATAGTTATTCATCACAACACACTAGCGCAGTCAGCTTTCGCTGTTTTTTACGTTTTGATTTTTTTTTTTTTTTTGGCTAGTTTATTTTATTTCTTTTTTTATTTGGCTTTACAACTTACCCTCTATGTTACGTTGACCGTGCAAACAGAATACCGAGGATCTTGGTTTTGCTGCGTCTGGATTATTGTTATTATTGTTGCCAGTTGTTGTGGGGAACGGGTGATTTGTGGCATTAGCCGCGGTCGTCGTCGTTGTAGTAGCTGAACCATAGCCAGTGTTACGGTCTTTGAAATCACTGAAATTGAAGAATGAGTGACAAAAACATGGGGTCAATTCGAAAAAACAACAACAACAACAAAAATAGAAAAATAAAATTGTCAATTGCAACACTTGCAGGATATACATTTGGGCGAATCATCAAAACTTATAAATGCTGAAGCATAGTTTTAGGCAGTTTAGTGGAAATTGCAAATAAAATAATAGATACGGTATTAAAAACAGGATTTTTATTAACATTTTTATTGGTTTAGAAATTATTTGTTCCCACACTAAGCCTAGCTATTTTCCATGCATTTTTATTTTTGTTTAAATCCCCACAATACTTTTTTTTATTAAAATATGCAAATGTTAACGAATTTAAACCGATTCTTACTTGCCCCCCCAATAAAAACAAGTTTTCAATGCTATATACTTCTGCACTTCTGTCCAAGTTAATTCTGTGGCAAAGTTTATAATTTCAATTGTGCTAAAAAGACCCAAAACGAAAAACTTATTCCAATAAATGTTCATTTGCAGTCCTTTTCCAAGGAATTTCTTGGAAAAAATTGTCGCATTTTCATGTTGATGGTGAAATTAGCACATCACAATTGTAAACAAGTTTGGAAATTTCTTGGCCTCATTCTCTTAAATTGGCTGGAATGTCTCCGGCCCAGAGACGAGGAACTATGTGCTCATGCAGACAGACCAATGCTACACAGAGGCAGGGAAAACAAAAAGAAGCACAACTTGAAGAAAATGCCAAAATGGCCAAAGTTGTTTGACACAAAACTTTTGCATAAGTAAAGGAAATGCTATGACGATGTCTGGATGCAGCAGCAGCAGCAACAACAAAAATAATCAAACAAATATGGCAAATGAAAGTTGGCATGCTCTACCTCTCTCTAACCTAGAACTACAACCCCGTCCTTATGCAGAGGAAACAAAAGTGGAAAAATACCAAATTGCAATTTAGTTCCCTTGAAAGATGTTATTTGTCAATATGTATTCGTTGCCATCGATTTGCAGCTCTTAGAGAGTTTGTGTTTTTTTTTTTTTGCACAAACTTTGGCCCGAAATTTACCATTAATTCAGGATTGTTAGAGTGACAACAACAACAAAAACAACAGCGGCAGCAATGAAATTCCATCTGCTATGTAAATATCTTATTTATAAGCATTTCAGGTGAATTCTCACACCAGTCATGTATCAAGTTTCATGGCAAAGCGAATGGCAAGCATGTGCATGACAAGACAACATACAACATGTTTGTTCTAAACAAATGTAGCCAGCTTGGAAATCCTTGAATCATGATGATGTTGGGAAAACAGAACAGAAATCAACCCATTTACCTTCGCTATTCCCTATGGCTCAAATCGGCAAATGGAAGCGGAGAAAACGGAGAATAACAAAAATAAAATGTCATGGATAAGAGCTATGTCGTTTGGCTGTCTGCACTGCAGCTTTTTGGCCTTGAACGCTATTTTGCTGAGCCCTCGTGTAGGTAATGCATCATTTGATGCGCCGCGAAACACCTCCTAGGTGCCACTGATAACACCGTTTGCCTTTCGATTGGAGAGAATGGAAGAATATAAGGAAAATACTCTCATACTTATGTGTGTTAGAATGTGTGTAAACATAGCTGCAGTATAGGATGTAGTGAAGATTTTGAGGTTTTCAAATATCAAATTTTGGAAAACAGGGACCATTAATTTCTTAAAGTAAGAGATTTTATTAAGAAATTTTGCGATTGACTTCAGCATACTAATAAGCACCGGCACCTTTCTCTCCGGAATCAATCTCCCCAAAAATAACCCCAAGTACAAGTTTTGCCTAATTTAGTACCAAAATAATATGAATATGAGTAAAACTGCAAATTTTTGAAATTTTGAAAATTTTTTTAGAAACAATTGATTCTGAAAAGAACTTTTCCTTGCCTTTCCCGCATAGCGTATGTTTCATAGTTTACGTATTCTTGAAGTAAAGTATTTTACAAAACCGTGGCCCTTTCGGCTTCTACCCTCAACCGTTCACTAAATAAATATGTACCATTTCGGATTAATACTTTTCGTACTTTTATAGCAATACTGGCAAGTGCCTTCTACTACGTCTGCGAAAAACCCACCTTAAAATTTTAGATTCGTTTTAACAGTTCGGGTTAGGTCTTATTAGTTTCCAAAATGCACAATTTGTTCAGTCTGACAACATTTTTTTCAGATCTTCATACATTGTACTAAATTTTAAGATTTTTAAGGTTTTATACATTACTCAAGTTTTTTCTTTTTTGGGAAAGAATTATAGAAAAATGTTTACCTTCTACACCAAAAACTCTTCAGAATCTTAAAATTTACCGAGGAAGGTATTAGTAACACCATTGCACAATGGACCCACATCCAATTTTTTGTTAAAAATATATATGGGAACTATACCAAAACGTTGACTTGTATGTACTGTTCCGCTACCAGATCTAGAACACATTGCGAACTACAAATACAAATTTTTAAACAAATCCCTTAAAAAATTTGGCAAAAATCATCAAAATACAGAATATGGGGAGGTACCGTTGCATTTGGGGCTATATCAAAACGTGGACCGATATATCTCATTTTCAATACCAACCATCCTAGACAAAATATAAATTGTTCTACCAAATTTTGAAGCTTGACGTCAAATAATGTGGGCTGCATCGTGATTTTAACAGACAGACATACAGACGGGCATCGTTAAATCGACATAGACGCATTCGCATAACTACCACTAGATATCACCTGATACCTTCATACCAAATTTCGGAATTCCAGCCCTATCCCTTCACCCAATACCAAGTTTAATACAATTTAGTACTTTTCGTACGAACATAAGACAAATTTCCAAAACCACCTTCATATCTTAACCACAGACACCAACAGCGACATCTATAACAAACTTCAGGAATTCATCGCTTTTTCTTCAACCAATACCAAATTTAGTACTTTTCGTACAAAACCACCTCTATATCTCAAGTCCTGATACCAACAGAGACCTCAATATCACATTTGGGGATTCCAGTCTTATCCCTTAACCCAATACCAAATTTAATACAATTTAGTACTTTTCGTACAAATATATGACATGTTTCCAAAAACACCTTCATATTTAACCACAAACACTAACAGTGAAATCCATATAAAATTTTAAGATTTTACCACTATCTGTTCATATAATTACAAATGATACCACATTTAGTGCATTTTAGTACTTTTGGTACATTTATTGTTAGAATTTTGAAAAACCTTTAGTTTGTCAATCCTACACAACATCAAAGACTCTCACTCCAAATGTCAGATTTCCAGAGCTATTCCCTCTCCAAATTCTAAAGGGGATACTATTTTGTACTTTTTAGTACGTATTTTCAAACCCCCCACCATGTATCAACCATACCGCACAAAAGTTGATTCTAATGACAAATTTTAGTACCATTTAGTACTTTTTTAGTACCACACCCAAACCTCAAACCTACACACTAAAAGAGATTCTAATGCCAAATTTCAAGCAGTATCCATTAACGCATGGCCAAATTTAGTACTTTATGTACGCTTGCTGAATAATTTTCAACTGCAACTTTTTATTTTGTCCCATACCCGCCAGCAGTGACCCAATTACCAATATTTGAAATGTTCATATCAATCCGTTCAACCAAACACAAAATCATGGGAATTGCGTCAAATTTCGTATTTGAAGTTCGTAATGGGTACTACAACCTATGACGGAAAATTGTCTATGTAGATCCACGTCTTAACCTTAACCCCCATACAACGCTACCTCCCTTTATTCGGTATTTTAATGATAGTAGGGACATTATTCATCGGATTTTTTTTTTCGAACTTCGTATTTGAAGTTCGGAGTCGTTACTACAGCCTATGACAAAAAAAATACTTATCCAGCACCACGTCTTCGTATAGCCCGCATATAAGGGGTTTCATTGGGATTGGGATTGGTTTTTTTCGACGGATTTTTTTGAATTTTTTCAATTTTCTTTCTAATGGCGGAGGGTATAAAAAGTTCGGTCCTGCCGAATTGTGCTACTTTTTTACTTGTTATGTACATAGATATTCCAAAATGTAACCACAGTGAATAGGTGGTAACCGCGGACTCTTATCTTAAATACCAATAGAAGATTTCTTAACGAAATCTCTCAAAGAAATACTAACATCAATGAATATTGAATATCTTATAATAAGAATCGGAATTCTCCTCGTATCGATAGAAGGTAGCATATACCTCAGTTTTACTATTCTAGCCTTCGATTTTCTTTTTGAATGTTGTTTTATTTCTTACAGCCGCCCTTGAATTACCTCAACACTTTTGATTAATTATCGCAGCAATCACGATACACCCCAATATTAACCTGCTCACATCTATTCGGCTTGTTTATTGCGCCGCCAGAGCTCGTGTTGGAAAAAGGATTTTTATTTGATCTCTTTTCGTCGAGAGTTTGCAGGCACATTTGAATCGTAAATCCTCTAGGTTACAGATTTAAAGACTTTGAACTCTATATACACTTGGAAGAAATTGAAAACAGAGAAAAAAAGAAATGGAGGACAAACGCGAATGTGTTATCATGTTTATATGGTGGATTTGAGCATTGGGCTTTCGAAAAGAGCAAGGCAAGGACGACACACAAGTTAAGGTGAGTTTGAAGCTAAACATGAAATGTCGCAGCCATTTTTTAGTTTTAATTAAAATTTGACAAGGACGTTCTCCATTTGAAAATTCCCTAACCATCTGAGCTGTATGTCCTCCATTTATTTTGTGTCCTTCGAATTTAAACTTCCTCTCTATGTGTATCTCTCCATCTGTCACTTGTTAATCTTTCCAGGAAGATTAGTCAATATTTCATTAATATTCAGTTGAAATTTGCACAAATATAACTTTTGCTCTTTCTCCAGCCCCCGCCCATCGACATTGATTGCCTTAATCCTCTCTTTCAGCTCGTTTTTCCTACATTTCAGCATTCCGAAAAAAAAATGAAGATTATTTTGGAAACTACGGCAAAGTAAAAAAAAACTTAAGCTGATTTCTAATTAAGTCATATTCCAACAACAAAAAAACCTAACTCAATACAAAACTGGCACCACAAGAAAATGCAAAAGAGGAAAACCCCGAAACTCGGTTTCTATCAAAATGAAAAGTTGACGAAAACTGTTCATTAAAATACAGTAGCAATGTTTTTTTTTTCTGGACTCAGCCATCCAAAAATGCTGCATATTGATGGACAAAGGCAGGCGGCAGGCGGTTGCCAAAACCGAACCAAACCAAACAAAATAATAAGAATTGCCCGGGCATCATCAACTTGACTGCAGCAAGCCACGCTAATCTAAAAACAGCCAAGAAATGCAAATAAACTTTCTTCGAAATACAAAACTGCAGATCCGAAAATTTCCACAGCCGACACAATGTCATGTGCACCATGCCCAGAGCCGAAGTAAAGAAGTTATTTGAGATCTTAGCACCAACTTTTTATTGCCACCACCCCACCCAATTTTTGTTTTGAGGATGGAACGACAGAATAAAAACGCCTGCACGCTCGGCACTGTCATTGCTGTTGTGATTAATGTAAAGTTTAAATTAGTTTTTAGTATTTTTTTTTTCTTTGTTGCCTTCAATACTTCGTGGATTGCACTATGGCTTTTTCTTAAAGAACACACGTTCAGCATGCATCCAGCTATGCACATTAACTAACCGGCAGCTTGCTACCAAAAAAAAAAAAAAAAGATGTAAGAAAGTCAGCCAAATTATTCCATGAAAATTATTAAAATTAACAAGCGCAATTGTTAAATGGTAGGAAGCAAGAACACTCTAAATATTCCCTACACCCCTCATTGAACCGTCATGATTAGGGCTGGCTGGCCATTCCTAGACCATAGAAGAAAGAAATTTAGAAATTGGAATGCGGTCGCTGTATGTGTCAAATAAGGGAAAACTTGTACGACTTTAAAGCGTACGAAAAAGTACCAACTATTGAACCATTGCACCTATAATAAATATACAGGTTGAGATGAAAAACTACATCCAATTTCAGACTGATGTCATTTCTAAGCCACTCGTCCGACAGCTGTTACAATGTGAATAAATCTTTTGTGTCTCGTACCATGGCTCGTAACCGTGAGTAAGTGGACGGAAGAAAGAAGCAACATCAGCAGAAATGGTTCGAAAAGTAAAGAAGTGACTTGATCGAAACCTGCGTCGCAGTGGCCGAAAAACAGCTTGTGAGCTGAACATATCGCAATATTTCATTCGCCAAATATTGAAAAACTAGCTCGGGGTAAAGCCATTGAAATTCCAAAAACTGCAAGAACTTACACCGCAATAGAAAGAAAATAGACTCAAAAGAGCTAAAGAGTTGCTTTGCCGAAAGTGGAGAACTGCCGAATTTGGTTTTCTTCGATGAGAAAATATTCGTTGTCCAGCAGTTTGTAAACAATCAAAATGATCGTGTTTACTTGCCAAAGAGGTCAGCTTAAAATGTACACCTTCAGGTGGCCACCAGAACTCAAGCGCCGGCCATGGTGATGGTGTAGGCCGTCATAACAACCGATGGTCGCTCTCCGCTCGTATTAATCGACCGCGGCATCAGAATAAGTGCCGAATATCAACGCGAAAATATTCTGGAAGGTGTATTAAAGCCTTGGGCACGCAAAAATTTTGGCCGCAGACCTTCGACATTTCAAGAGGACTCAGCACCATCGCACTCAGCCCGCGTCATCCAAGAATTGTTACAAAATGAGGTTCCTCGCTTCATTCCCAGCGCACAATTGCCACCAAAATTTCCGGAAACCAATCCGTTGAACTATTGTGTCTGGAGTATTTTGGAAAGCAAGGTTGGGACTAAAAAATACCAAAGTGTCGATCACCTCAAGCAAGCGCTTCGCCGGGAATGGGCCAAAATACCGCAGAACAACATTCAGGCAGCGTGTGACGGTTTCATTGGCCGTTTGATGGTCATAATTCGTGCCAAAGGTAACCAATTCGAAAAAATCTAAACTTATTCTAAAATTTGAAGCTATTTTCGACATTTCATTCAATAAAATTAAAAAAATGTAAAAATTATGGCGTTCTACTTTGTTGTAATTTTTTTATCTCACCCTATATAGTACTTAACACAAAGCCACCTACTGTAAAATTCTATATAGATCCGTAACCTTGAACTAATTAGAAGCAGCATTTTGCCACCTCAAACCGTTCAAATACTCAATATAGATAACAAGATCTAGAATGATAACTTGGAGGATTACAAACGAAATGATAAACTTGATATGACATCAAATATTCGCTGCGAGATTATTTCAAAGAATACCTTCTGATTTTGTGAAGCCAACTCAAAAAGAAGCCAGTCGATTCTATCTTTTTTCTCTCAGAATAAAATAATACAAATTCTCTTCTTTACATTCCCCCTCGCCGTTTTGCCAGTAGTAATCTGGTCTATCAATTCAACGTAATATTGTTAATTCCAACAAAAACAGCAATATACAACACAAAGAGAGAGGAGAGAGAGAGGTGAAGGGAGTTATGATGCAGAAAACTGGGATTGACCTCCCTAATGTATGCTAATTAAAATTAACGTCAAGTTTATTTTATTTCTTTTTTTTTTTTGCACTCCAGTGAGAGATGAAGAATGCAACAAAGGGAAATGAAAATTAAAGGAAAGATGTGTGTGTGTGTGTGAGAGACACAAGCCTAAAAAAGTTTGATTATAATTTTTCTTCAATGTTTTCTTTTTATTTCCTTCTAGCCGATACAAAGTTTGTGTTGATGCCAAGCGCGTGATATTCACGAAAGGATTAAGCTACGACAAAACGAAGCAACCATTGTGTGGGAGTGACAACAGCGGGCGGTAACTACTGTACAACAATTTCTTAGCAACAATGGGGCAAATTGTGTAAACTGCCTTTTTGTCCAAGGCAATATTTAGTACAATATTAGGAGAAATTTTAAAAAGTGTAAGTGTCCCAAATGTAGGCGATTTGGAATTTGAATTTAAAAAAAGTACAAAATTGCCCAAGAATTACAGTAGAATAAATAAAATAGTATCAGTCGGTTTTGCCGTATACCCCCTGCCTTGAGTTATGATTATTTAAATTACTGACCCTTCCGAAGCAGTTGGCCAATATTGAGCAATTTATATCTGACCTAATGCCATGTTTACGTTAGAATTTTTTGTAGGGTTAACCTACTTTGATTGGATTTATTTGAAATAAAAGTAATGGATATGACAATTTAAATCCAAACCCAGTGGGTTAACCCTCATATATATAAACGTACTGTAAGACTGATATAAATATTACAACGTGCCAGATTTGGACTATAACGACTTCCTATTATACAAATTTTTTCTATGTGCAAATGTTTGGATAATGTGGTAAGGCACATACAGGTATGGCAAAATTACAAGAAAATCGAACATTTATATCCAATTTCATGCGAAATCTTAAAATTACATATTCCTATCGGATATAGTAAGTTGTAAAGAATCGCGACTTGTTTCGCAAGTTATGACAGCAGTTATGTATCATCTTCACAACAGATCTTGTGCTAATAAAAATGTCTGCATGTGTGAAATTTGAAGAGAGGTTGATGCTTATTTTGCTTTCTTTGAGCGTTTTGAATTTCAAAATCCTCAACCCTATATGGGGGAAGTACCAGAAGAAATGGTCCGATCTCTACCTTCATTATAACAGATCTTGTGTTGATGGAAAAATTGAGATGTACCAAGTCTGAAAGGAATCGGATGTTAATTTCCCGTTTCATGAGCTTCATGGACACTCAAAAATTTGATCCTTTGGGAGTGGGGGGAGGTACCAGAAGTGGACCGATATATCCCATCTCCACAGCAGATCTTGGGTTGATAAAAATATTATATTTCGGATATTATGATCATTTTGGTTATTCAAAACTATGACCCTTTGTGTGGTAGGAACCAGAAGGAATGGCCCGATCTCTAGAATCTATATAACAGATCTTGTGTTTGTAGAAATATTGAGATGTGCCAAGTCTGAATGAAATCGGTTGTTAATATCGTGTTTTATGAGCTTCATGGATATTCAAAATTTTGACCCCTTGTGCAGGAGGTACCAGAAGGACTGGACAGATATATTCCATCTTCACACTGGATCTAGAGTTAATAAAAATATTGTGATGTATGTAATTTGATGAGAACCGAATGTTTATTACAGATTCTAGGATCGTTTTTGGTTATTCAAAATTTTGACCCCTTGTGCGGGAGGTACCAGAAGGAGTGGACATATATATTTCATCTTCACACCAGACCTGGTATTAATAAAGATATTGTAATGTGCGTAATTTGAAGACAGTCGGACTCTTACATCACATTTTATTAGATTTATAATTAGTCAAAATTTTGACCCTTTGTGGGGGAGGTACTTGATCGAGTGGACCTATATTGTTCATTTTAACGTCTGACATAGCACTGAAGCAAATATTGGGATTTGCACATTTTGATCGGATTATCCTTTCTTTTTGACATGTTGTGTGGGAGGGAGATGGAGTGGACCGATATTGCTCATCTCCGAACTTGGTCTAAGTTTGACAATAATATTACGATGTACCAGGTTTGGATCAAATCGAATAACCCCTTTGAGAGTTATCTAGCGCATCAGCCAGCCAGACATACGGACGGACATCGCTAGATCGACTCCAAATGTCCTGAAACGGATTTGGTGTAAGGAGACCTTGGGTCTAATGTCGATGAGACACGTTTTGGCCGTATCAAATGATATATGCCCTCTCTAGCCGTGTCCTGGGACATACACAGAAAGATATACCGAAACCATATCTGGAGTGCCAACTAACAAAAATTAACTTACAGAAATGTTGCCATTACGGAGATCTTGTTTTTTTTTTTTTAAATCTTAAATTTTGTAATTTCTGAACGCATTTCTATCAAAAATTTCCAAAAATGAAAACTTATTTTGTGGCAAAAACGTCTCAGTTTCTTCAAACCGACTCCAGTTGTTTATTGTATACAAAAAAAAACACCAATTTGACTTCACTGTTCCTCTCTCATTCACACATTCAAATGCGTTTAAAAGAATAATTTTTAATTGTCGGCCCAGTACTGATGTAGGTCTTTGCAAGTGACATCAATTTACAAAGCAACGAACGGAAAAACTCTAAGCCATCCAGAGGAAGTAACAATGAAACTCTATCACTCCTAGTTAAACATTGTTCCGAGTGTGTGTGTGTAAGAGAGAGAGAGAGTTGGGAATAAGGAAACATCACGTGTAGTAAGTTTCCGTAAGGACAAGGACTTCAACAGCTACTAGTCTTCAGTCAAGACAGCCAAATAACTCAAGGAATAGGGAGTAGCAGAAAAAGAGCAGCTGAAAAAGTTTGAGAAATTGTTAAGCGTTTTTGATTGACATAATCCAACATTCAGGGGATTTTCAACTGAACAAAAGTGAACAAGGCAATGGCTGGCTGGCTGACGGGCTGCCTGGAACTTTGACAACGACGGCAACGAATGAAGCATGCCAAAAGTTAATCAAAGCGCATTGGGCGACGCATAATCGACACAAACAAAAACAACTCCAGATAAGATAAATACAACAAGTGAGGTTCTGGGATACAAAAGGGGAGGGAATATACACTTAGTCAACTATTAAACTGTTTGAAACACTAAAACACCAGACTTAATTTACAAAATAACATTTAAAAGACAACAACAAGAAGGACCTCCAAGCAACTGCAGTTGCAACGTCAGATTACCACAACTGTTGTGCCACCAAAAACTCCACTAACATGGCCAACCATAATGGTTTGGCTCAGTTCTGCACTGCACTTTCAACGTTTCGCGTTGTCATTGTCTTCGTCTACTTTGAATAAACCCAAAATAAACGAAGGAAGAAATGAAGGCAAATTTTCATTTCATCAACGAGTAAACAAGTCAAACAAGCAGCGCGGTATTGGCCAGACAACAACCAACAAGTCAAAAACTCTTTACCACCCTCCCTCACTCACTCACCCACCCGCTCGCTCGCTCTCTCGTTTGTCCGCTCACTCCTTCACTTGCAAAGCCAATTGATGACAGTATTGATGGCATCGGTAAATTGTTGTGGCTCCATGGCATCCTACTGCACCACACCGCACACCACATCGCCACCCATTTACACCCACTAAAGTTGGCCTCTGCGCCAAACCGATATCCTGTGCTTTCGTTTCTCTCGACCTCAACCCCAAACCTCAGAGACCGCATAATTATGATGACAAAAGTTACGATAAATTGAAAGACGATGACGGCGAGTGCACACAGCACAACCCACCCATACACACGGGACAACAATGAAGGGACAAGCGGGTATGCCAGCGTAGTAATCAAATTCTTTGGAGAGGGAGTCGACGCAGCCTTGTCACTCCAAATGCCGGGAGTTTGGTTAAAGTTATGATGAAAATATTTATATTGTGATTTGCTGATGGCCACCACTGGGAATCGAAGGGATCCTTCGAATAGTTTGCAATGAATGGTGAAGGCGTTGGCTGCTGTGGTGTCTGTGGTCATGCGACACAAGGAATTAATAAAAATCAATGAAGGTTTAACAATGAAAATATTGAAGCATTGACAATGAATTAACTGCAGAAAAGGACCTGGGAAAGGACAATTGGAAAAGTTGGTATGGTGTTCGAGTGATTAGAGAGATATGGATATTGTCAGAGAGAAACATCAAATGATAATAAAGAAAACAAGGATCTATCCCAAAACTCTATCTTACTTGACTTGAGAAGAATTACCGATTGGGAACTATCGATTCAAAGTAGTTGCCGTTCAGTTTCAGTCAATCTAGGATGATTACTGGCAGACCCAGATATACAATTTGATAGTTACAGTTTAGATTTCCCAAAACAACAAAATAGTACAATTTAAAGCAAAAACTTTGGAGCCGTGGAAAAGTGAATGCGAAAAAAATACTGGACAATAAAAACTACCAATTTCGTCACCAAAGCGCCTGTAATAATACTATGTTAGTAGATAAATTGTTAAGTAATTATGTGGAATCCCGATTAATCCTGGATCCATTTTCTAATACTTGGGACTGGTATGTAGAAAGTTTCAGTTGAAGATCTTGGTCATCAATAAATTTTTGAAGAGGAAACAAGGCATAAAGTTCCAAGACAATTTTTTTAGGGTCCATTAAATATATAACCTTAACTACACACAAAAACGTCCCCAATATTTCGCGCTATACTTCGTAAGATTTATTACAGAGATTTGAGATTATATGGAGACCTTCAATTCTATTATTTATATAAAACTTATATTTAGGTCGAAAATGGGTAACATCAGCCGAAATAGTAAAAATTAAAATAATAATAACCCGTAAGGAAAGGTCAAAAGTCGGGCGGTGCCGACTATAAAACATGCGAATTAAGTAGAGCTCTGTAACAAAAAATTTTTTTTATTAATTTATGTGGAGTAGATCATACCAACTATGAACCAAATAGCATTGCTGTATTGCTGTGCTGGTCAATAAGGTTGACTAATGACCGGGCCTAGTTTCACCAAATGGTAGATTTTGTTGAATATGAAAAAATCTATTCAATTTGGGCGGATATTATATATATGGTGAGTAATTACCGTAAAATCGGATGAAGATTTATATCGAAGCTATATAAAAATCAGAACGGATCTCGATAAAATTTGGCAGAGGTATTTTCGAGTAGTATCTGATGTCCGGTATAAAATATCATTGTTGTGGAGTGCATATTACGCATGTGAGGGACATTAACACTAAATCGGATGAAACTTATATATGGGAGCTATTTCTATATCTGTACGGTTTTCTACAAAAATTTACTTTTAGGCTGAATTCTGTCGGAAGTGCCAAAATTAAGTCCATTTGGGCTATATCGAAATCTTAACCAATCTTGACAAAATTTTAAACACTTATTTCTGAGCTGAGATTATTGTTGTGGAGTGCATATTATGCATGTGAGGGACTTAAAACCGTAAATCGGATGAAACGTACATATATATGAGAGCTATAGCTATATCCGAAACGATTCTCTACAAATTTGATGTACTTGGTTCTAAACTGAATTCGGTCGGATGTGCAAGGTAATTTGGACAGATATTGGCCATTTGGTGAAAATTAACCAGAAATCGGTTGAAGGTATATATGGGGGCTATATCTAAATTTGAACCGATTCACACCAATTTCAATAGGATTGCCTTGGGCCAAAAAAAATATTGTTTGGAAAATTTCTTCTTAATCGGATAATAAATGCGACCTGAATTTTGTTCACAAAAATACATGGACAGACGGACTGACATGCATAAATCGACTCAGTGAAGAGATTCTATGAAGATCCCCAAAAGTAAATATGGGTCGATCTCGGTTCCTTCTCTTCTTCGATATTCGTCAGTTTTTACTTGGTAAACGTAAGTTTGAAGTAGCATAGTTATTTCTGTCAACACCAGATATAGGGCATATTTGGACCACTTCGTCTAGTAACTCCCACTCAAAAATTCAAAATATTCCAAAAAAATATATAATTATCAAAAAAAAAATCGTAAAGGGTGTCAGATTTAATTGAAACTTCACACTTCATAATAGTTAGACCATACTTAAGACAAATGCATTACCATTGGTACCTTCCCCAAAAAAGTTCCTAATATTCGAAAATAAGAAAAGTATTCGTTTTTTAAAAATAGTAAAATTATCCGATATTCTCCAAACTTCGCACATTTGTCTGCAAAATGATAGCTACTTTTTGTTAAAATGCTTCAACCCGATAATTTTAATATCTTTATCTTTCTTTTCTTCCCTGTGAGTTTTTCTTCCACGTAATTCAAAAATGATTGACAACCCCTTTGCAATTATACCTGAAGTGCCTGTGTGGTCTGCGAAAAGTATTTTTTGGACATACAAGCAAGGTCATGCATACAAGTTCATTCAACTTTGAAAAAGTACTTACATTACAATTGGTGTATTCTCCTTCTTTGACATGATGACTTATTTTATGTTCAAAAATTTCAGGACAATATCAAATTTCGTTAAATTCCACGATAACACTAAATTAATTACGAATAATCTCTCGATTTACGAACTTTCACTTAAGACAAAAACAAAACGCATCAATTAACAGCACATGTGGAGAACAAAAAGCAAAAGAATTTTAGCACACGACACCAACAAGAAGTTCACCACAATTTTCTTGGTAACGCGCGTATCTCTCACAAAAAGTCACGAGTAAACAAAGATCAACAAATGCTCAAATTTCTGAGAGGGCTGGGTGATTTTCTTGACATTAGAATTACTTTCTTTTTTTGTTCTGTTGCTTTTTTTGATATTTAATATGTTCTCCTTTCACCACGAGAATCACAATTTGACTGACTTGGAAAAAAACAGCGTATGAACTGGAGGGAGACTGCAGTTGAGAGCAGTGCTACGATAACAGATTCCGTTTGAATGACTTTCGAAGACTGAGGATTTCTTTCATGTGTTGACAAGTTCTCCAGAGTTTCCGAGTTGTCTGCCTTTCATAAAGGTCTATGAAAAAAAACACAGTCCAACAATAAAATCACAATAACAACAATAATTATAACGAAGAGGAATTAGTCAAAGATAAGAATAAAGAACCAACTAAACGGTCTGGCCTGGCTGCTGAGAGATAGTGATTACAACGGCAGCATCGTAAATCAACGAAGTTGTTTGTTTATCCACACGTCCGAATAACAAGAAGTATCATGTAAAGAGAGACAGAGAGAGAGTGTGTAATTGTGGTGAGAGGTGCAAAGCTAATACAAGTGATTTGTCTCATCAGCACCCTGAACGGGACGAAAGTAATCAGAAGAAAAACAAACAAATCAAAATATAAAATTATACATACAATAACAAAAAACAAAGCAATGAAACGGAGGTTAAATGAGAAAAAAAACATGCAGTGACATGGAAAGATGTAAGGAATGGAGGTGCCCAATCACTTGAAATGTATGATATCATCCGAGCAGCATTTTTCCTATCTTATCTCCAAAAGCCTAAGTAAGATCTTACATACATATTTATTTTAAATTATGCATTTTTAATTTCATTTACACATATCTACATATTCTGAATCCAGACAACAAAAGAATGTTGTAATAGAATTAGACCTTTGGATAAAAGAGAGAAGAGTAAGAGACTGTGTACACTTTTAAATAGAAGAACACCTTTTTCAATCAAACTTTTTCATTCAAGAAATTTGTTTATCTTCTTGTTTTAATACAAGCCAAAAAGCAAAATCATTAACTATGATATATAAATATTAAATATAAATATATTCAATGTTGTCCAATCAATAAATTAAAGTGAGTGGTAGTTTGCCAAATAGAGTATAAAAAATTCACAAAAATAGAATATTAAAACAAAAACACTTTAATATATGAAATGCTGAACACAGATCTATGACCTCAAAATCCAAAATCAATTGCAAAAAGTCAATTTTGCAATTTTTACCATAGGTTAAATTGGACTTCAACTTATAGACTTTTCAAAACCATAAGTCGAACATTCGAAACTCGACCTACGTATACCAAACCGAACCGGATTTTATACTTATGTTTGACCCCACAAAGTACAGGGTGAGATAAAAAATACAACAAAGTAAAACGCCATAGTTTTTACATTTTTTTAATGTTGTTGAAAAAAATCAAAAAATATCGGAAATATCATAAAATATTAGAATAAGTTTAGATTTGTTCGAATTGGTCACCTTTGTCACGAATTATGGCCTTCAAACGGCAAATGAAACCGTCAAACGCCACACGAATGTTGCTCTGCACAATAGTCCAACGGATTTCTATCCGGAGATTTTGGTGGCCATTGTGCGCTGGAAATGAAGCGAGGAATCTCATTTTATAACCATTCTTGGGTGGCTCGTGCTGAGTGCGATGGTGCTGAGTCCTGTTGGAATGTCCAAGGTCTGCGGCCAAAATGTTTGCGTGCCCAAGGCTTTAATACACCCTTTAGAATATTTTCGCGATAATATTCGGCGTTTATTCTGATGCCGCGGTCGATTAATACGAGTGGAGAGCGACATTCGGCTGTTATGGCGGCCCACACCATCACCATGGCCAGCGCTTGAGTTCTGGTGGCCAACCGAAGGTGCACATTTTCAGCTGACCTCTTTGGCAAATAAACACGATCATTTTGTTTACCAACTGCTGGAAAACTAATATTTTCTCATCGGAGAAAATCAAATTCTCCAGTTCAACACTTTCGGCCAAGCGAAGCAAATCTTTAGCTCTTTTGAGTCTATTTTTTTTCAGTTGTGGTGTAAGTTCTTGCAGTATTTGAAATTTCAATGGCTCTACCCCGAGCTCATTTTTCAATATTTGCGAATGGAATATTGCGATATGTGCAACTCATGAGCCATTTTTCGGCCACTCCATCAAGTCGCTTCTTTACTTTTAGAACCATTTCTGCTGATGTTGCTGTTTTCTTCCGTCCACTTCCTTGACGTCGGGATACGCTACCAGTATCACGGTAACGGGCGATTGTACGAGACAAAAAAGATTTATTCACATTTAAATGCTGGAGTGCTCTAATGATAACCGCTTGTGGTTTTCCAGCCAAATATAAATAAATCTCCCTATCGCGCTTGAATTCCATCACGAATAATTTTTTTCTGGAAAATTCCCACCAAAACGCTTTTTAACAGCTATCGGACGAGTGGCTATGAAAAGACATAAGTCGGAAGTTGGTTGCAGTTTTTTCATCTCACCCTCTTTTCTCTTTTCAGTATTTTTAATTGTTATCTCAAATTTTTCCCCAACTTAGATATATCATTTTAATAAATTTTAGTTGTAGAATATTTGATTTCCTTTTAGATTTCAACAAATTTCCAACCAAAATAACGTGATTTTCTATACCAAGTTGTAAAGGTATAAAAATCTTCGTGTTTAGTTCCAAAAATATATTTAATTAAAACACTGCATCAATTTCAAATATTGTTTTAATTAACAAAGGTCTGGACGATATTAACGTCTCGACTTTCCTTTCAAATTGTCCTTTATAGGTATAAGTGGTGCTTATTTATTATTTTCTTTATGTTTATTTTTGTACGCACATAAACAATATTTGCTGAATATTCTCTTTTTATTGTTTATATAGTCCTTTAATTAGTATCTTATATTTTCACATATTTATTCTCAATCTGCACTGAAGAGACAAACTGTCTTCGAGTATCATGAAAATCCACAATTTTTTTACCTGGAATACATTTTAGTATATTTTTATTTCTGATCGTCGTATGGAACTAATGCAAAACTTATTTAAATGAAGATTGAAATAATGTATCTTGTCTTCCGGCAAACGTATTAAACTCAATTAGCCCACGTTCTTAGGTATATATATAAGAAAAAGGAATTCCTACACATCACAATATCATCAAAATAATAGCGAACGACACCAATGTCAGTAAACAATCGTTAAAACTCTGTTTTTTGTCAACTTTTATCTGTTTGGTTTCAGATAAAACGCAGCACCACGTTTTTCCAATTTAAAGTGAAGAAATGAATATTGTATTTTATAACAAGTTATCAAATATGTCATACTATGTGTATGTACATACGTCATCTGCCAAAGATGAAATGAGATAAGATGGGATTACAAATAATAAAGATATTGTAATTAACATGCATATTTCTGTTAAGGAACCGGAAACGCATTTATTATAGTGGAGTAGATATGTTTCGCTTCCTTTTGTCAAGCATTTATTTTAGGTTTATGTTAATAATTCGAAATCACAGTTTTGAACACCAAAACCTTTCTTTATGCCGTTTGAAAGTGTGTCTAGTACCTTCAAAGGGTCAAAGTTTTAAAAAACCAAAACGATTATAAAATCCAAAATAAGCTTCCATTTCCTTAGATATTTCACACATCCCATTATTTCTACTAACATAATATCTGCTGTTCTGTCAAACATTTATTTTAATTAATAATTGGAACTCACAGTTGTGAAAACAAAAACATTTCTTCATGCACTATGAACATGTAACTAGGACTTCAAAATAAACAAAGGCCCGGCGATATACGGCAGCTATTCCAAAACCTGGAACTGAACAAGGGAATTCTTTCGAAAAAGCCTTCTGCCTATTAAAATTTCAAAACGTCAAATTACAGCTACTTTCTACGGAAAATACCGTTTAGTATTGGGAACAACCAAAATTGGCCGAAACACCCTTATGGAGTTATGCCACTCTTTCAGTAAATGAGCAATATATAATTTAAAGGTCCTCCATTTTAAGGCCGATTGCGCTTCTTGTTAGAGTCATATGTAAAGAGATATTTTTCATAATTTTTATTATTATTATTTATTATTATTTTAGAACAGTGTGGCTTGTTTGTTCGGGATACCGTAGTATTTTGGTGTTGCAAAATGGTCTGGCTTTATCCCTTTATTGTTGTTTTTATAAAAACAACGTTTGTTTATTAGTGGAGAACAATGGTAATGTTTACCAGGGGTAAGGCAGGGAATACCTAGGTTTCGGAAAGAGCCACCAATCCTCATCAGTTCCCTTGTTTTTGTCTGGGATATTCTCTCCAGAAGTTATTTTAAAAATAACTTATATGACAAAAAACATTTTTTACCCAAGTGACGAGATCGTAAGCTCAATAGAAGAGGAACCAAAGAATTAAATAAAACTAAAATTCTCTTGGAAAGTCTTCTAAATCTTACAACCGCACTTATAAACATTTACAACTTTCTCCACTTGTTATGCTTTCGTTTAGCCTGAACGAAGTAGCATAACCATGTAAGTTGGTTTTGTCTGTTACAACAAAAACCCCTTCGTCGACCGTGCCTTGTTTGTTCGGGATACCGTAGTATTTTGTTGTTGCAAAATGGTCTGGCTTTATCCCTTTATTGTTGTTTTTATAAAAACAACGTTTGTTTATTAGTGGAGAACGATGGTAACAATAAAGGGATAAAGCCAGACCATTTTACAACAACAAAATATTATTATTTTATTTATTTTTATTAAGTAGTAGCTAAGTTCGGCCGGGCAGAACTTTTTATACCCTCCACCGTTCGGAAGGAACATGAAAAATTTTAACACAAACTCCGTCGAAAAATACCGCTTAAATTAACACTTATTTGGTGGCTATACGAAGACGTGGTGCTGGATAAGTAATTTTTTGTCAAAGGCTGTAGTAACTATTCCGAACTTCAAATACGAAATGCGAAACAATTCCGCTGTATAATGTCGGTAATATTATCACAATACCGAATAAAGGGAGGTACCGTTTAATGGGGGCTACACTAAGACATGGACCTGCATTGACAATTATCCGTCATAGGTTGTAGTACCCATTACGAATACGAAATTTGACGTGAATTTGGTGAATAATGCGCGAATTATTTTGGAAATAACGAATAAACGTAGGCCTTAATAGACAATTCCCTTCCAGGGGATAAAGTACTTGGAGGGAACTCCGAGTACTCAGACTATTAAATTAAAAAATGTGGCCAAATTCACCAAAATACCCAATATCGGGAGTTAAGTTTTATGGAGGATAAACAATATCGTGGACCTATAGAGACAATTCTCTTTCAGGGGGTAAAGTACTCACAGAGAAGTCCTTCTGTAGAATTTCAGATGATTCCATTTTAAAATGTGGCTAAAATCATCAAAATACCGAATATCGGGAGGTACATTTATATTGGAGATATACGATATCGAAGACCTATATAGACAATTCATTTTCAGGGAGTAAAGTAGTCACGAAGAACTACTTGTGTAGAAAATCAGATAATTCCATTGAAATATGTGGTTAAAATCATTATTATTGTAAGCCCCGATATCGTTGACTGAAATGGCCCATCTTGACCTGCCAGCAGGCAAAAGACAGGTCGGTGCAAAATTTTAGCTCCCTACCTTTATTCGTTTGGTGATTACAACAGACGAATGGAGGGACAGGCTACATCATCTAAAATATAAACACTTTGTTGGGTCTAAAATTATTATTTCAATGAGTTACAAACGGAATGGCGAACTTAATATACCCTCCATGCTATGTATGGTGAAGGGTCGATTAATAGGAGAAAACCAGCCTAATATAAGGAAACCACACTATCAGGCTTGAATTCCATCACAAATAACTTTTTTTCCTGGAAAATTCACACCAAAATGTTTTTGTACGCTTGTAAACAATATAATGAGCTGTCACTGGGATTCTTTTAACAGCTGTCGGACGAGTGGCTTAGAAATGGCAGCAGTCTGAAGTTGATTGCAATTTTTTCATCTCACCCTGTATTTCTTTGTATCCAGCAACCTATTTTTGTTCCTACACCGCGACATCTACACACAGCTTCAATTGTTATAATTTCCACTATGGAATTCACGATACATAGTTGCCAACTATCTCATCATCTTATTCGAGTTCCATAATTTACTAACAATCTTATCTTTTAGCTTTAACTAAACTAAATTATATGTTTTAAGTAATAAAATATTTCACCTTGTGGGCGTTAATGGCATCGCTAAAGCTTTTAGCCCTGGTAAAAAGTAGAAAATACTTTTAAAAGTTTACTTCTTAAAAGTGAACCTTGTTAAATTCTATTTAGCAAAAATGTTAGCTTTTGTAAAAAAGCTCGCAATGTCAAGCCAAAAACCTTTATTTTTGAATACATCATCTGTGGTGCGATTCTCTAACTATTTTATGACATAGCATACTTTTAGGCTCTCTCCAAATGTTTTAAACTAGAAAGAAACGTTATATATTATAACATAAATACAAACATTTGCAGTAAAAGGATACTATTTAGTATTTTTATATAGTATGGCGTTTCCATTAAAATGAACAATTGTTAAGTACGCCTTAAAGCAGAGCTGTTCTTTTAAATCATCAAGAAATGAGTGCTAAAATATTATTTCTACTGTTTTTGTATCAATAGGCTGTATAAATGATCTTGGACCAAATTCATGATAGAAAAACAATTGAAATGAATCGTTAAAGATAAAGAAAAATAAAATGTTTGTTTTGTCTTAGATTACCTCCCACAGTGACACAAGTGGATGCTCGGTTACACCAAAGCCTTAAAGTATGGTATAAAAACGTAAAAATTAAATGTGAAATTGATTTTACATATGACTTTAACAAGATATGTAAACTGGACCTGATGGAAGTTTGAAATTATGAAACTTTGCTTTACCACAGTTGCGCATCCAAAGCTGATTACTTTGTTACGTTAAACTCTTTTTAAAAAATGCCCTGTAAAATTACAAAATATTGTCATTTTAAATAATTCCATTAACGTACTTTACTATTTGGAAATTTTTAAGCTTCACTACATAACTGAAGCTGCAAAAGAAAAGTTTAACTTAACGTTGGTATAACATTAAAGCTATTGTTGTTCAGAACAATGTAAGTGAAATAAAGCTTCTGTTAAAATCATTGCGGCAATTACATACAGTTTGCCATTTAAATGATTGCAAACGAAACACGTTGTAAGTCTTACGACGGCCATTTTTTATTTGTTGAAAATTGAATTTAATATTACTCTGTTCCAGAACTGCAACAATGTAAAACTTTTTTACTGAGATAACAGATTTTTCTGATATAAAAAAAATTCAAAACTAGTAAATTTTTATAGGTTCTACAACAGAGCATATTTAAACATATTTGTATGATAAATAATAAACAAATTAATATATTAGATTTAATGTCATCAAAAATTAATTGTATATACTTTATTACATTTATACTTAGCAGTTTCATGACATACCTTTAGAATCTTCCTACAATTTTTAAACTACAAAGCAAAGCTTTAGAGTTTAGTATAAATTTATATGTTTATAGTAAGAATATTGTATAAATAAATCATACGTGTAGTATGTGATTTAATTTTAAATATTTTTATTAATTAGCTAAGGATATTACAAAATTCAACCAACCGGTATTAGGAAGGGTAAGTGCTGGGTATTAAAAAACATCAAATATGAGGTTCTCCTTTTCCTGTTATTCCCCGTAGAATTAAACAAGTACCAAAACATTACATGGTACCAAAAAAAATTGGACAAGTAGTTTTAACTGAATCATAGCCATACACACACACACATTGTAACGCTCTTTCACGTTCGCATGTAAACAAATTGTAAGTGAGAGTATTTCCTCACTCTCACTGACAGTTTTCTCTGCGTGCTTGTGTGTCGGTGAGGATGTAGCCACTTAATTAGAAATTTCATATGACACAAATTTTTGGCCTAACTACAAATCACCAAAAAAAAAAAAAAAACAAGCAGAAACAAGTGGCGATGAAAGAGAAACAGAAAAGAATGCGAATGCAAAGAGGAAACAGAATTTATGGAAACACACTCCGACACACACACATGTATATATATATGCGTGTAAATGCACACACGTTTACAAACGCTATCCACCACCAACAACCCTATTTTTTGATTGGAACAGTTGTAGTAATGTACTAAAAATTTCTCTGAGAAAATGAAATGAAAAGAGAAGCAGATAAAAGAAAACAAAACATGTGCCAAGTTTGACATTTACATTGCATACCATTGGGCGCTTCAGTTTAGCTCAGCACGCAGTGTAGTGTGGCATACGTTCAAGGGTTTGCGTGAATCTCATAGCCAGCCAACGAACCAAACAACCAGTTAGCCACCCTCTTGCCAATAACTCTTCTTGCCATTGTTTGTTTTGGATTTATGGTTATAAAAACAGACCAAAAAAGGGACGAGAAAGATATAACAAAACTCGGAGCGAGTGCAATGGGCACACGAAACAAGTGAATGAAATTCAATGAAGTGAGAGTTGGACGATAACAATGAGAGCAAGAAGAAGAAAAGCTTTGTAAACTAGGAAGAGAATTGGGTAGAAAAAAGAAAAACAACAACCATCAAGTTAGGGAAAACTCAAGTGAACAACAACACGGCACGTTATGTTACGTGCAAACACAAGAAGGACATCAAAATGAAATAAAAAATTGCCACAAGGGGAGCACACGAATACGACGAAAGCCAACACACACACACTCATACACACATCGACTCTCGAGTGCCGTTTTTTATTCCATTCCATTTTCACTATTCTATTCAGTGGCAACGGCAAAGGCGAATGTCGAATGTTGAAGGAACGAAAAAGCGAACGAACGTTGAATTAGTTACGGTAACAGGCGACGACGGACGGCAACGAAAACGGCTCAACGTTACTTAAATAATATATTTAATTTATCCCTGTGCTGTAAGTGGTTCTTTTTTTCGGTAACCGTGTCTGTGTGTCTCCGTGTGCCAGAGCCCGTGCCCCTGTCCGTGTGTGTGGTTGTGGCTGGTTGTTCAATGGTCGTCGTATTTTCCCATTTTCTGCATAAATTTTCACAACCAAGTATACTATATTTAACATAACTGTAATAATAGTTAAGGCAGAACACGAATCCGAGAAGAAGCACCCAAATAAAATGAAAAAAACTAAAACTAAAACTAGACGCCAGTAGTGACAGCAGCAGCAGTTTAACCGACGTAACGCCATAACCAAGTCAACAAAATTCTCTGCTACTTCATTGTTGAGTTGGTCGACCAATTGTCAAACTGAACGACAGCCAACCTGCAACTCGAAAATCGCTCGAAATATAATCAAATAAAGTGAAAAGCTGTTCAGTCATCCTTTATTCGTCGGTTCGTCGTCTATTCGCTTGAAAGTTATAAAATTAACCAACAAAAAAAAAAGAAATTAAATAAAAAAATACACACACATACACAGATAAAGAGCATTTGTAGTAAAATAAAATTATGAGTGAAGACGGAAAAAGTTTATAATTCGCCTTGTTCGCAACACACTCACACATCTATAGAACAAGTACACACACACACAAGCGCACTGTAAATTTGTTAAAGAGTGAAAATGTTAGCCCTCTTCTTCTTGTTTTGGTTAAAAATCAATAAATGGCCACTAAAAATATTTAAGAAAATCAATTTCTCAAATAAGCTATAACCTTCTTAAGCTGTCTGTGTCGTCGTACGTAGGGTTTGCACAACAAACGGAACCCTGCCTGCCTACCCGCCAGCCCCTTCACCTCTTCTTCTCTTCGGAACTTGTTCATTTCGAGAGGGGCGTCTGTGAAAATCTCGTCGAGGTCTTTTGGGCAACTACTGACAAGTGACATAAATGAGGAAGAAACATTGCCAATATCGTTGTCAGAAACGCCAGGATACGAAAATACCTCAAAACACTTCTGTGAAAAGCTGAGGAAGTCTCAAGCCCAGTAGCAGTCCCAGCAGCAGCACCAGCACCAACACAGGGAGCCAAGGAGATTTTTTCGTAGCCAGCCAAATAACGACGACGACGACAACGTCGACGAGATTGAATTTATCGAAGAGAAAAGTGTAAATAAATGTGTATATAAGTGCGTGTGAGAGTGTTTGTGTATGCATGTGTGTGTGAAAGTGAGCGTGTTTGTGTGAATGTGTACCAAAAAGTACAATAACCGAAAAAAACAAGGAAGAAGTGGTAACACCACCAGCAGTAGCAAAGAAAAAACGAAAAAAAGAAGTTTTGTACGCATCGTAATCGGAGGAAAAAAAATTATACTGCGGTAAAGTGTCGGGAATACGTCGTCCGTCTTGGCCTTCAAACGGTCTGTGGTCGGTGGCCAAAAAAAAAAGTTGTTTTCCCCGTTCCGATGTCAGCTAGGAAGTGAGTGAGTGAGCGAGTGTACGAAAAGAAAAAATAAAACATGTCCACATGGATGTTAATGTGTCATAACACAGGCTATTTAGCGTAACGCCTAAGAGTCTAAAAGTGTGCCAGTGTGTAAATTATCCCCCTACCCTGTGACAAAAAATAATAATAACAACAGCGACAACAACAACAAATAAATAAACCCCAAACGAAGTCCCAACTGTATTAGAAAAGTATCACTGCAATCCTGCAACTCCCTCCATCGACAAAAAAAACACAGACATACATACAAACATCCGCAACTCTCTATATACCATGGCTTCATCTCTACTGGACCTGGATGACTTAATAGAATTTCAATTGGATCGCCTAAAACTGGATGAGCTCAACTTTAAGGATGAGCTGCAGCTACAAAGACAATTGCTGGATCTGGATGCACTGCAGTGTCCCCAGCGACGCCATAAAACGGCGGCTATGGCCACCTCGAAGCTGGCCAATCAGCATCACCAGGCACTGCAGGTGCCAGAAGCTTCGTCCTGCATTGATCTGCCGACAAGTTTCATGGCATCATCGAACCAGGACGTGACTCCTGCCGCTATCGCTACCGGAGCCATCGCCCGCTCCAGTAGTCGCAAAAGTCGCGCCAGTGCCGGTGTAGGTGGTAGTGTTCAAAATGTAACCACCACCAATGGCAGCATTGAAATAGCCATGGAAGAGCTTGGAGCCACTGGAGGTACTGGCACTGGTAGTGTCGGAGCAGCCGTCAATCTGCGTAATTGCCACAGTTTCAGCGACAGTGAAGACGATGGTCTAGCCCTAGACCAGCAAAAAGAATTTAGGTAAGCTCCATTCAGTCGTATTGGGTGCGTACAAGAATGTAGCCGACTGCCCGTCCACCACCATCAGCAAATGTCCATATCATTTCGCAGGAATTTGTCATTAAATCATTTATAATAATGAAATGCATTCTTTTAGTACTTTCTACGTTTGTTCTTCTCGTTTTCGTTCGTTTCCCTCTGTTCATAATTGTGTGTCTGTCAGCGAAAGTGTTGCCATTTCGATGAAAATTGCATTTGGTATGAAAATCGTCCGAAAAAATATATATAACGAAAGTTCAAAGGCATTCGAGGTTTTTTTAGTCAAAACAAGTCTGACTCGAGAAATTTTCGATTTTGATCAGAGTTTAGGGGTTTCATTTAACTCTTGAATGGTACACTCTTCGTTCTGTCATGTTTACGTTACAGCTTCTTAATGATTTGGAAGAGAAAATGATTTAGTGTTTGATTTAATATAAATTTAAAACGATTGTACTGAAATATTAGAATTTGTTAACCGAAGGAAAATATATCATCAACGATCAATATTTAAACGTAAAATTGTAAATACAGCCCAGCAATGATAAAAAAAATTAAAACAGTCCAAGAAGATCTGTCTCCATAGGCCTTAAGATTCGAGTCACCCTTTCTCCATCTCCCATTTTTGCATTAAATTTGACCACTGGTCTGGAATATAGTCTAAGATTACAAATCATATAGCATTTTTAGCAAACTTTTAGGCGCTACAAAAAATCACTTTTTATAAAGTATATATATACTATAAGTACAATAATTTATATTAGATTATATTATATTCTACACTAATATATATCACATTTTACTATATTTTTTCGTTTTAATTTTAAAAATTGTGTGGGTGCCTAAAAGTATGCTTCAAAAGTGCTAGACGTAAATGTGCCTTTAGTACAATGTTGTAAAATTGCATGTTGTAAAATTCGGATAATTTTATGAAATTTATACCTCACACATTTAACATTTTCTCACCAGCCGTTCTCTCCTCTTCTGTGAGCCGCATTGACCTCCTGAAAGCCACAAGATTTTAAACACGCAGTAATTTCAAAAAATACTCATAATGCGCTTCAGAAGTCATAGTAAACATTTTTCCCAAACCATTTGTGGTCAAAGAGTTCAAATCGGCAGCACTGCTTGACTTATGTCCTCTCTCAGTATTATCTTCCTTCTTTTAGGGTTTTTTCCTTCGCTCTCTCGCTCTCTCTCTCTCTCTCTCTCCGAATTGCCAAGCTCTCCTTCTTGCTTTTGTTGTGTTATTATTCCAAATTTCCACCAAAAGGAAAACTGCCACCTACTCACTCACCCCTTTTGTCGTCGCACTGTTATGGCCCATTCTCTGTGTTTTCTTTTTCCTTTCACAAAAATAAGGTCACGTGTGATAGCGTGCAAGCAGGAAACTCTGAGCAGAGAGCAGGCAGCTTTGAGCAATTTTCATATGCATTGGCGTGTTTCGTGTTTTGAATTTTTCATTAATGTTTGTGTTTTTTTTTTCTTTGTTTAATTTAAATTGATTTGGATAGGAAAAATACCAAAACACAAGTGACTGTTTGGTCGCTCACCCAAACACCAACTCTTACACACACACACTTACATGTATGCACACACTCACACTGCTTCCAATGTATTGCAATTTCAATTGTCCTGTTCATAATTTGGCGCTCATTTTGTAGTGTGGCCATTCTTTTGAGTGCCGCCATTGCAATTGACTGTCTGTCGAAGACTGGCAGAGTGGAGGGATGGATGTATGGATGGATAAATGGATAGATGGATCTATGGTGTCGTCTTCGGAGGATGTTTGGATTCTTGGCAAACCGACATTTCGATACTTAATTAATGGTCTGTTGTTGGGCTCTTTAGATTCGTTCGTGTTCGTGTCTTGGATGGGACATCCTTGTGGGTCGCTTTTAATTGATTATTTGTTTGTGTTTTGGCTGCCGCAGCCGCCTGGACCCCTCCCTCCACAGACCCAAGTAAATATGAATCACTGTCACATATACATTTTTGGCATGAAGTGCAACATCGTTGTATGGGTTGAATGCCAGAGCTGCCTAGATTTATGACAGATTTCCTTTTCACATATTTCATGGCTTTTGTAATTCGTGTTGCTGTAGCCATTGTTGTTGTTGTTATTGTTGGATTTTCGTCTGCCTCTCATTCCGCCTCCATTGTTTTTTTGCTTTACATTTATATTTTTTTCAGTTCTAGCGTTATCAGACCTCCTAATCATTCATTAGTTGGTCAGTTGGTTGGATGGTAGGTCTGCCTGTCTGTCGGTCGGTCGGTTCATTCTTTGGTTGTTCAGTTCGCTTATTCTATGCCACACATTTGGCCTTTATGTGTTCGTTTTTAAGTCTCTTGTATTTGTTTTCTGTTTTCTGTTTTTTCACATCATTTCATTTCAGCATAATTGCTTTGTGACTTGTCGTTCAGCGTTTTTTGAACTTTTTCCTAGTCTACATTTCGCTTCCATTTTGACCCTGTAGTCAACCTTATCTCCTGCAATGGCATCTAATGCAGCTTTTGTGGCATTTTTCAGGAGTCTGCACATGGACATGTGGAATGTTTGTATTTCTTGTGTATGTAAATCATCTTCGTTTTCCTTTTTGATGACTTCATAGCCTCTGTCTCTGTGTGTGTGTGTGTGTGATGAAATCCACAATTGTTGTTTTTGGAATATGATAATTGGCGTATACAGGACAATGATATTCTATTATTCATAAACGAAATGAAGTTTTATATTATAACTTGAAAGCTACATTAGTTTGAATGGAATGCAAAAAAAAATGATGGGAAGAAAAATGCCTCGGCCATCGATGGATTGGATAACATTTTAGTTTTTTAATTTTTTTTTCCCGAAATAATTTCCCTGGAAAAAAAGATTGAATTCAAAGTACATATATTCGTAAAAATTTTAAAATTTGTAATCGATTAAGAGGTCATTTGGTGTTACGCTATAGTCAAAACAAGCATTGTAGTTTTGGCACAGAAGTGTATTTTGATGTAGGTTTGATATAGGTTTTTGACGATATTACCTATAAATGTATATATGCTCCCGGTTTTGGTGTAGTATCTCGGGGTTTAACCGAATTTTCTTTTTCTTGCCAAAATTTATTTCTATCTGTTATGTACCCACACCTTTCTCTGATACTTTTCAGCAAATTTGGTTTTATTCTTTCTTTTTAAAATCGCCGTGAACATAATATCTCAACAACTTGCAACAAATTCTCAAAAGATAAAGATAAACTTGCAACAAATTCTCAAAAGATGCCATATTTCCGTACTTTAATGCTCCTGTATCCAAAAGGTTTGCTTTCTTGTTACTGGAATCTTTCTCACAACTATATTTTTAAAAGATCAGGAGGACCTACTCTCCCTTTTTGTATCACTATACAACTGTACGCTTTAGTATAGCCTCATATGATAGCACCTCCCGATATTCGATATTCTGATGATTTAAGACAACTGAATTGTTTTAAATTCTGTACTTAGGGTTCGTAATGAGTTTCACCTCCCGGGTTCTAGTCCCCCAGTACTTCCCTATATTCGGTATTATGTTGATTTTAGTCACATTTTTCAGGGGAATCATTAAAATTGGTATGTAGAGTTTGTAATAGGTTCTGTATGGCAGAAGTCTGCTGAAATAGTCTCATTATTTCCTTTATCACTTATGAGGCATTACCTCGAAATATTTGATATTTTTAGCGATGTTAGCCAAATTTTTAACAATTTTTTTTAATTTGTGCCATTTATTTGTAGTTTCGACTTTAGGTAATTTTTTAGACTTTTAAAAATGGAAATGAACCCAATTATAAATCCTGGATCTTACTTCGTGGTATGGTATTAAAATTTGGCCCGGCTGTTTTTACTTTTTTTTATTAAAGAAGTGACCTTCCCCTTGAATCATTACGATGAGTTTTTATACCCTACAGGTATGAGTTTATAAATGGGCCATGTCGTTGCAAGTTTCTGTTTCATTTGCTGGAGTGCTTCTATCCATGTTTAATTTTAAATCATATTTGTGAGACTTTAAACATGTAGAAGTTTAGTATATACAATTGGTAAACATCGGCTCAAAGGGGTTTATATAAAAAATTGAGAGCTACGTGCATCTATAGCCTTTCATTCATGCCATTATGAAAAGACAGCAGGGAAAATACATTTGCTTCAAATTTGAAATAAATTAAGCCCAGATTACACGTTATGATATAGTCACATGTAAAAGTTACTGCATTGAACATTTTTAAAGCATACTTTTAGACGTTTCCAAGAATTTTTAATGCAACACTAGAAATCGCCAGGCAGACATAGGAAAATGGAAGCTAAACGTAGTTGGTTTGAAAACTGTTAGACAATATGGGGGCGATTATTTTTAAAATTTTCGTATTTTACATAATTGCCTCAGGCTTTGCCAATAACATAAGCATGTATGTCCGCTTGGGCGATATATTTTCTTCGAATGGCAAAACGAAAAATGGTGAACATAAGCATAAAGATACATTTCGAACACAACCCATTTATCTATTTATTTAGTGTTTGAATGCATTGCAAGCAAATAAATGGTGGCAATATACACACACACACACACACATATTTATGACACTTTGACCTATTCTATTGATGGCATAAAAACATCAATTAGTTTAAAGAATGCATTTATTTATTTTCAATTAATACAATTACCGAGCCCAAAACTTCTATACATGACTACTCTAAAATTTTTTATAATCTTAATCTTAAAATTAAACATTAAAAGAGAAAATATGATCGAAAATAAAAATCGATTGAATAATTAAGTTTGCCACGCCTTATGTAACTCCAAAAAATGATCTTTTAAGACCCCATTAAAGCCCAATATTCATGCTTAGCGTAAAATATTAATAATATTTAGACATATGCTTATGTAAATCAGTTATTCTAATTTTTTATACCCACTAGCTGGTTAGGGTTTTATGTCTTACTTCCTTTTGATGATCTGCATAGGTTCACATTCAAAGTCGATTTATGCATGTCAGTCCGTCTATCTGTCCGTCTGTCTGTCTATGTATTTTTGCAAACAAAGTACAGGTCGCATTTATTGCCCGATCCAGATGAAATTTTGCACAAGTAATTTGTTTGACCCAAGGACGAGCCCTATTGAAATTGGAGATAATCGGTAAAAATTTAGATACAGCTCTCATGTATATCTTCGTCCGATTTGCCTTTTATTGTGCACAAAGCGTATAATATCAGCCCTAGTAGAATAAAATTTTGAATATACCAGTATATTTAGCCTGGATATAAGTATGCCAAATTTGATTGAAATCGGTTCAGATATAGCTGTAGCCCCGATATATATTGTTCATGCGATTTGAAATTTTTGTCCTCCGCAGCCGTAATATGCACTCTGTTACAACGATATGTGGTGAAATCTATCAAATCACAGCACCAAAATACCTTTCCAAAATTTTATCGAGATCGGTTTGGATTTGTATATACGTCCCATATATATCTTCGTCCGATTTGCCTTTATTGGTGCACCAAACGTGTAATATAAGCCCAAATGGAATGGAATTTGGCACTTACGACTAAATTGAGCATAGTCAAATTTTGTGAAAATCGGTTCAGATATAGCTATAGCTCCCATATATATTATTCATCCGATTTGTTATACTTTTATTTTTTATTTTTTGTATGAAGCTCTACTAAATATACAAGGGGTGTAGGATATCATAAAGTCGCACCGCCCTACTTTTTTAGACTTTCTTCACTGGTTTTAGTATAGGTCTTAAATCTGTTAAAAGGTACCACCTAGTTTCTCAGTTTATATAATATCTCTCTACCAAAAACGTTAAATAAAATTCTTTCATTTGGCATAGTCTCCATATAAATGTATCTCTAAATATATAACATTTTGAAGGGTTTATCTCATTTTCCAAAAAAAAAAAAAAACTACTTGTAGTTTGACAATTCAGGTTCTGGAAGGATATACACCATGTTTCTATACTTTCTGACGGACACATCTTCCAATCGAAATGGCTGTAATTTGATATCTTAAATTATAATAGGTAGAACACATCCTCTCAAAAACTTGTCAATGCATATCCAACTTTTGGAGTAGTCCCCGTATAACGACCATCCGAAGCTCCCGCTGACATTTTCTGGAAAACACATGCCTGAAATCTTTTGATTTGCCTCAAAAGATTTTTTGTTAAAAAATATAAACTTTTTAGCAAAATTATTGCTCAAAAGATTTCAGCCATGTGTTTTCCAGAAAATGTCAGCGGGAGCTTCGGATGGTCGTTATACGGGGACTACTCCTAGGTCTCTTTGGACGAAATTTCTTGCAGGACATTTGGAGTCGATCCAGTGATGTTCGACCATCCGTCTGACTAGCTGGCTGCTGGATGCGCACGATATTTTTGAAAGGGAATATAGGATTTCGTCCAAAGTTGGTACATGGTAATATTGTTATCGGCGATAGACAATGTCCACCCCCACACAAAAGATCAATATTTCCAAAGACGATGGCTTACCTCATAAAAATAGACAGAATCGTCGAATTTCATTCCAGCTTTACAAATGGTGCTAGGTCAGGTGCGAGAATGGACAATATCGGACGACTACATCTGGTTCTTTGAAAATATTTTTTGAAAAATCACATCTCTCATAAAATAATAAGCATCCTATTCTTTTCATGTTTCGCACATCTCAATATTTTAGCCAACAAAACATTTGGTTTGAATATGGGATATATCGGTTCTCTTCTTGTGGTACCTCCCTCTCGAAAGGGTCAAAGTTTGGTATAAGTAAAACGCTCATAAAATTCGAAATAATCATCTCATTCTTTTAAAATTTTATACATCCTAGCAAAAAATTATGTGTGGAAATATCAATACATATCGGACCATTTCTTCTGGTACCTCCCACACAAAGAGTGAGAATTTTCAAAAATTATATCTCTCGTTACATGCGAAACAAATCTGAGATTATTTTCAAACTTGGTATATCTTAAAACTTTTTTCAACCACTCCCTTTGGTACCACCCCACAAGGGGTCAACATTTTGAATAATTATAACTCCTATAACATGGAAAAAAAACCAGCGCTCAATCACAGATCGAATGTTAATATGAGATACGTCTGTCTACTCCTCAGATGTAATGAGCAAGTGGAATACTTTGGTCCGCTTTATCCTGTAGCTCTCGCACATTTCAACATTTTCCAAGAATCATAACATATCTCATCATATCTCAAGTTAAGGAAGTAGGCTATATAGTCCGACTCTTGCACGATGTTTTTGGTGAAATAAATTTTGTACCGATTCATCCATATCAGTGATCTTGTGTATTTATGATAGTATGCATAGAAGGTCTCAAATTGAGTCCCGTTTCGAACGGAAATTTAAACATTTTAATATATTTAGCAAATCATTTCTGAAATCATGGACTAATGGATTTATTTCCTCGTGGACTACCCTAGAATCAAAATTTAACATTATCAACACCAAAATCCATTAAAAACCCTGAAAATATCGTACACATCGAAGGAAGTGCCAAAATTGATATCTAATAAAACAACCGCATAAATCTTTGAAATCTTATCCGAACACATCCCCATTCATAGGACACTAGAGAAATAATATGTACACCGATCTGGTTATTCATTGGCAAAATCCAACATAAATTAACAACAGTTTAATTTTCACAAAGAGGTGTATCGTTATTATGAGTTTTTCAAAATTTTAATAAGAACTATGCGCTCTAAATATGCCACCCTGCCGATTCAGTGAGCAATTAATGACATCAATTGGTCGACTTCGCCCGTATATTTTTATACGATTAAAACTCAACTCAATTGCGTTTAACAATCATTAAGCATTCAGTTCGTTTTTCCTGTCATGATTGCAAAAGCTGTTTTTGGTTTTAATTACCGGCCCCTAGCCGCTATTATTATCATAACCACTCATAAGAAAGTAGGACATCCCATTCCATCGCTTTAACTTCATATTAATTGGTGTTTTTTTTTTTACCAAAACAATGGAAGAAAGCAGATTTTATTTCTCTTTTTTTCCAAGACGACCTTTACCTTGTAACGATGAATCACAGGCCGCACTCAACTCCTTTACACATTGTGCATTACATCATGACATGGCAGGGAAAACTGTGTTTCTCCTACATTGTTTTTGCTATATACCGACACAATCTCAAACACATCCACACATACAGGCACATGTGTATATGTGTGTGCGTATGTTTTGGAGTGTTATTATTTATTAATTATTTTAGACTTCTGGAAATTGAAATCCTTTTGACTTTTCTTTACATTTCAGATCTCTGGTAATCGAATGGTTTCAACAACTCCGCGCCAGAACTGAAGATTTCAAATCGGACGAAGAATCGAGAAGGATGCGAGAAGCCGGCAATGATTCCTATCGCAAAGAAAGACATGCTCTCAAAGCTTGTGACCTCTATACGGAAGCAATATTTTTGGCGCCATCACAAGACAGTATAGCAGCCGCAATGGCGCACGCAAATAGGTCCACAGTATTGCATGACTGCGGCATGTATGAGGTATGAATAACAAAAACAACAACAACAGCACAACCACCAACAATAGCAAGATTAAAAACAACTTAAATGCAACCACAGAAAAAAGAACAGCAATATGAACTGATTGTGGCCGGGTCGAAAGGTCTATATTGGCTATCATACAGGACTCACAGACACACACACACACACACATACACATACACTTCTTTGGCCCTAGTGTCACATGCACACAACCTATAATTATTTCATATTCGTGCATTCGTATTAACAACGACGATTACTCTATTCCATAATTGTGGGTTGAGTAAATATATTTCTTTTGAATGGGCATACACAAGCTTGAAAGGATTTGATTGCATCCAGCAAGTAAACAAAAAGCTATCGCCCTGGGCCAATGCACAGTAGCTTGGAACTGAAAGCAATTTTCAAAAGATAGACTAAAATACAAAATATTTTGCTTCCAATATTTGAAGACTTCGTTTAATACGGCCAAAATGTGCTTCATCGAAATAACGGTTTTATAACCTAAGTCTCTTTGGACAAAATCCGTTTCAGGACATTTGGAGTCAATCTAGCACACATTTAGAGTCAAAATCAAAGTTTAAAAGAAAATATTTTACTGCAAAGAGAGAGAGAGGATAGTTCGATTTTGCTCCAACTGTACAATATCGGTCCACTTTATCACAATATTTTTATTAACCCAAGGTCTGGTGTGAAGATTGTACATATCGGTCCACTGCTTCTGGTACCTCACCCACAAAGAGTCAAAATTTTGAATAACCAAATCGATTATAAAATCCGAAATAGACACCCAACTCTCTTCAAATTTCACACATCCCATTATTTCTATTAACACAATATCTGCTGTGAAGATAGGATACATCAGTCCACTTTCTCTGGTACCTCCCCCAAAAGGAATCAAAATTTTGAATATCTATGAAGCTTTTAAGACGCGAAATTAATAACCGATTCCATTCATATGTGGCACATCTCAATATTTCTATTAACACAAGATCTGTTATAGACATGGTAGATATCGGACCATTTCTTCTGGTACCTCCCTCACCACAAAGGGTGAAAATTTTGAATAACCAAAAGAATTTTAAAATCCGAAGTTAGCTTTCAACACTCTTCAAATTGCACACATCCCATTATTTCTACTAACACAGACCTACTGTGAAGATGGGATATATCGGTCCACTCCTTCTGGTACCACCCCCACAAAGGGTCAACATTTTAAATATCCATGAAGCTCCTATAACGCGAAAATAAAATCTGATTTTATTCAGTCTTAGCAAATGTCAATATTTCTATCAACACAAGATGTGTCATAAACATGGTAGAGATCGGACCAGTGCTTCTGGGAGAAGTCCTCCACGAAGGGTCAAATTTTTAAATAACCAAAACGATTATAAAATCCGAAATAAGCATCCTGTTATCGTAAAATTTCACACACGCCATTTTTTTACTAACATAACATCTGCTGTGAAATGGAATATATCGGCGCACTCCTTCAGATACTTCCCCCACAAGAGTTCATTCATATTTTCCAATTTTGCAAAGTAAAGAAATTATTCTTTCAGCATGGTCTATATTAAATTAACGTTAGAAATTCAGGTTTGGACATAACATCCAACCTTTCATCAGATTAACACAATTTAATCCCACATCCTCTCTCTGTAACTCTTTCATTTCACTGTGCCCCGCTACAGGATGCCATGATTCATCATGTGTGACACTAGCCGCACTGTGAAAATAAACCTACCACACATTGTCGATATTCTTTGTCACCGCTCCATTCATTAATAATTAATTACTCATGGGTTTTCTCTTCCTTTACAGCAAGCGTATGATGACTGTTTGTGTGCTTTGGATTTGGGTTATCCGGAGGAGTATCATCCATTGATTAAACTGCGTCAAGCCTCTTGTGCCTTAAAAATGCGTAATTTCAGTTTGTGTGAACAGCATTTGCATGAGCTGTTACACATGGAACTCTCTGAGACGTTTGAAGCCCGCACTCACGAGCTCTGGCATGAGTGTGAAGTTCTCAAGGCGGAGAAAATCGAAATGGGGGTTCAAACCGACAACGACTTAATAAGTAACGGTACCAAAATCTATGAAGTGTAAGTACCAGCCTGTGTTGTGCGCCTGAAAGTAGGCTTTCTTTTAATGGTTTTCATTTTCCAGAGCATGGCTAGATAACACCAATGTTATAACGACTACTAAGAGCGCCTATCTGAGGGCCATTACCAATATACCCAACAACACGCCCATTTTTCAGGAGGAGGCCGCCGTCTTTGTGCCCAGCGGCGCGGCGAGAGTCTGTGACCATTGCGGCGTCACACAGTTCGTACCATTTCCATGCATTTTCTGCTCTAATCGTACAGCCGTCTATTGTTCACGCAAGTGCCGAGCGGCACACGCTTCCATACACGCTCTCGAATGCTATGCTCATCAGATTGAACTTTTCGAGGAGTTCGGCGTTGAGTTCTCAAAGCCGCGACTGCTACAGCTCGCATTTCGCATGCTCATCAACGGCCTGCCCCAGGTGGTGCCCCATTGCCGCAAAAAACCCACAGTCAGCAAAATGTGGAACGCCTTCAATAGCATACTAACCGAACGCAACTGCACCTCTTCGTCCACCTCGTTAGCTGCCTCGTCGACCTCCTACTCAGCACTGCTGCGCCTCGAATCGCACCTAGATAAAGAGGAGAAGCCCAGTATGGTCTCCTTTGCTATTGTCGCACACATACTCGCCATCTACTTGGGCGAGTACACCGACTTCTTCGAACTACTCGAGCTGACAATGCCCGCAGCAGCAAAGCTGACGCGCCAGGAATGGGAATTGCTCGCGTCGGCTTTGCTGTTGCGCCACATCTGCCAGCTGCGGCACAAAAACCTCATACACTGCCCATCCTTTGTGCTGCCCGCCGATCCTCATGTCCTCTCGCCCAACGATGAGTTCTCGCTGTGGGAAACGGTGCGACACGTGCGTCGCGGCTACCTCCACCTGGTGGCCGGCGACGTCACGACCGTAGCCTATGCGGTGTTCCCCCAGACCCTGAGCCACTGCCGCCACTCGTGTGCCGATATGATTTATCGCAAGATCAACGGTTGCAAGCTGACCGCCTATGCGACCAGTGATATACCAGCAGATGCCTGCATTTGTAACTGTTTCGTTAGTGGGAACTATCGACAATCGCTGTATAGCCATCGCAAATTGGAATTGTCCGCACGAGGCATTGATTGCAAATGCGAAAAGTGTTTTCGTCCATATCCCGATGAGGATTTTGTAAGTATAATCCGATCAACTAACCAACCAACCATCCATCCAACAAACCAACCAACCAATCGAACGATCAGCGTCACAATACGATTTAGATGATCACAGATACATACATACATACACACACATTTATATGGTGGAATAATGAGATGATGATGAGATTGATAAAGATGTTAGTGTGTTGCAATTGTGTATTTCTCAGTGTCTCTTGGTGTTGTCATATATATGCCCGCCCACATACATGTTAACATCCCAATACATACACACCTACATACGTACATACATACGTACATGTTATGTCATTATATTCGGATACCGTTGGTTTTTCGTTTCCTTCTTTAAATTTGTTACCTGTGTTCCGATTGTTTGATGGAATTTGGTGTGGCGGAAATTTAACTAAAACGATGTGCTTTTGAAACTAACACTTTAATTGTTATTGTTATATTACACATAAACAGACAAACACCCACACACACTCACACTACCACACACAAAATGTGTTAAATGCGAATGCTTTACTTGTCGTTCCAATGGTTAACTTGATTGATCAATGATAACACCTCTAACTATTCTCTAATACTAATTACCTACTTATACTTATATATCTTAAATACATACATATATATATAAATCTTCTCGATGTTTTTTTGTGGATCGAATGTTATCTCGTGTACCATGTTTAAACGAGGAAACTAGCTATGAGTTCTTGATTGATGAATGGCATTCCTGTATAGCGTATGAATGTTAACTTCTTTTGATATCCGTTGTTATGTTTTCTTTTAGTTTCTTTGTGTTCCCTCATAACCACATTTTTATCAGCATCTCTTTTTGTTGTAAAACATTTAATTTTTTTTTTTTTGGTTTATGAAATGACTTATAATGGTACCCTACACCATCAAGTAAAAAAAAAACTAATATTAATTCAAATTGATAATCATTCTCTATCAAGAGAGAGGAGAGATATCAGCGTTTCAGGACATTTGGAGTCGATCTAGCCGTTCGTCCATCGGTCTGTCTGGCTGGCTGGTGTGTACGATAACTCTCGAAGGGAATATCAGATTTGATCCAAACTTGTTACATCGTAATATTATTGTCAAATTTAGATAAAGTTCGGATATGGGCAATATCGGTCCTCTTCTTATTGTACCTCCCCCACAAAAAAAAAAAAAAAAAAAAAAAAAACTTTGCAAATCCTAAGATTTGCATTGGTGCTATGTCAGGTGTATTTCCCCACCAAGGGTCAAAACTTTTAATATTTATAACTTTTATAAAATGTGATGTGAAAATCCGATCAGATTCGGACTTGGCTCATCTCAATATGTCAACACAAGATCTCTTGTAAAGATGGATAAGATCGGACCATTTCTTCTGGTACTTCCCGCACAATTGATTACATTTTTGGATAACCAAAACGATTATGGCTGAAATAAGCATCCGGCTTTTTTCCTAATTTACACATCTCATTATTTCTACTCTCACAAGATATGTTGTAAATATGTGATATATTTGACCACTTCTTCAGGTAATTCCCCACAAAGGGTCAACATTTTGAATATCCATGAAGCTCATAAAATAAGAAATAAATATCCGATTCCATTCAGACTTGGCACATCTCAATATTTCCAATAACACAAGATCTTTTATAAAGATGGTAGAGATTATACCATTTCTTCTGGTACCTCATCCACAAAGGGTCAAAGTTTTTGATATCCTTGAAGCTCATAAAACGCAAAATCAACATCCGATTCCATTCAGACTGGGCATAGACTGCCACGGTCGATTAATGCGAGCGGATAGCGACCATCGGCTGTTATGGCGGCCCACACCATCACTATGGTGCACAATTTCAGCTGACCTGTTTGGCAAGTAAGCACGATCTTTTTTTATGCTAACAAACTGCTGGACAACGAATGTTTTCTCATCGGAGAAAACCAAATTCAGCAGTTCACTACTTTCGACCAAGCGAAGCAACGCTTTAGCTCTTTTGAGTATATTTTCTTACTGTTGCGGTGTAAGTTCTTGCCCTTTTTGGAATTTTAGTGGCTTTACCCCGAGCTCATTTTTTAATATTTGCCGAATGGAATATTGCGATATGTTCAACTCACGAGCCATTTTTTCGGCCACTGCGACGCTGGTTTCGATCAAGACGCTTCTTTGATGGTGTTCGGTACCCACATATTTGCGATCATTGCATTTCTATTCTTTTTTCTACATTCCTATGTCTTTCTTTCCCCAAATCATTGCATTCCATTTTAATTGTTGTATTATATTTGTAATATGTTACTTCTTTTGTTTATTGGTTGTTGTATAATCACACTCATTAAAAAATATACATATTTACCGATATCTACATATATATAAAATAAAAAAAACATACATATTCCGAAACCATTACGACCTTCCGAAACCAAACTTTCAGCATAAATTTCATCGTTACCGCTGTGATAATCCGAACTGCAAACAAATCTTTACACCTTCGAACCTGAAACGCACCCGTAATCTGCAATGGTGGAAGTCGGACTACTATCGCCGGCCCGAGAATAACGGTTCCGAGCTGTTGGTCTGTACGGTTTGTGATCAAACGCAAAAACTCGAATGGTTTTGGACGTTTACGGCAGCTCTCATGGACTGTGATACCATCGAGGAACGTTGTAAATTGTATGCGGCTATCGAACGGGCCGATGCGCAACTAGTGGACACCCATGAATTGAAGGTGGCACTGGCCCGTCAATTAGTCGAACAATGTTTGTTGATACACAGAGGTATGTGCTGGCGAAAGATCCTTGCCAAAAATTAATTTGTCTTAATAATTTGTATTTATCCAGTCAGACACTCGACTCACTCACTCACTCTCAAGAACACACAGACACATACACACATGTCCAAAACAAAGCAAAACAGTTTTAAACAAACTATTATACAAGTATTCTACGTAAATATATACCTAGTAGTCTGGCTATATTTAATAATTTTATACAACACAAAAAAAGTAATTTAACTTTCAATACAACTCAACCAGTAGAATCGCTAGTTCATAACGTTTTTTGTCTCCTCTTACATTTGTAGTTTAATTTTTTTAAATCTAGTTTAGGTTATTAACTATACGCTAGTATTTTTTTTTTTTAAATCCTTAAAAGCAGTATTCTTTGTACTCTCAATTCTAGTTTATTTGTTTGTGCGTCCCATAACTAGTTAACTAAACTCACACACATTCAATTAAAAAGAAAGTACACGGAGAGAAAAATGTAAACGACGATACTTGAAACAATGAAATGAAGAGAAGAAGAAGAGTGATGGTGGTGTAAAATGTCCCATATGAAATAATTGCAAATTAAAAAACAAAACATTTGTAGAAATAATTTTCTCATTTATACATACACATATGAAAAATTCATGAAACTGTATATACATTCATATTTTGAACTGGAAAATGCACATCTTTTACACATGTCTTCGAAGCTTCAGCATTAGTTTACAGACAAGACTATGACGTTATCAAAACACACAACTTCGGGTTAAGTGGAGAGTAGTAAAGTTGTTGCAAAATTACTCACCCGTGAATAGCAACAAACGACATATGAGACAATATGGATGAGCATTTCAATGCAAATATCTGTATTCCTCAATGAGACTAGTTATAATCCGTTAATGTCAACACAGGGACAACCATTTTCTAAAATATATCATTGTCCGACAGGATATCCCTGTTACTTTTTTTTCAAATTGTCTCGAATTTTGCAATTTAATTTCTCACAGAGAAGCTGGTAATCCTAATGTTTGCATCAGCGCTAGGTCAGGTGCGAAAATGGACAATATCGATCCACTCCATCAAGTACCTCTCCCACAAAGGGTCACAATTGTGAACAATTATAACTTTTATAGAATGTGATGTAAGAGTTTGATAGTCTTCAAATTACAATGTTTTTACTAACCCAAGATCTGGTGTGAAAATGGAATATATCGGTCCACTCCTTCTGGTACCTCCCCCACAAAGTCTCAACATTTTGAATACCCATGAAGCTCATAAAAAGAGAAATTAACATCCGATTCCATTCAGGCTTGGTACACCTCAATATTTCCATCAACACAAGATCTTTTAGAAAGATGGCAGAACTCGGATCTTTCCTTCTGGTAACTCCCTCACAAATGGTCAAAGTTTTGAATAACTATAACGATTATAAAATCCGAAATAAGCATCCGGTTCTCTCCAAATTACACACATCACAATATTTTTATTAACCCGAGGTCTGGTGTGAAGATGGGATATATCGGTCCACTACTTCTGGTACCTCCCCCACAAACGGTCAAAATTTTGAGTTCCCATGAAGCACATAAAACACGAAATTAACATCCGATTCTATTCATACTTGGTACATATCAATATTTCCATCATCACAAGACCTGTTTGTGAAATTAGTGAATCACTTTGAGAGAATGGGAACGGGAAATTAGAAGAATTTTTAGGAAGAATATATATCAATCTTTCAAAATCAAGAAATCAATGGTTGATAGTAATGCCAACGATTTTGGTAGACCGAACGTGTCTAGTAAAAATATTTAAATTTACAGACAGGTTTCTCAGTTGTAAAAATAAAAGATTTGTATGTGTCTTGAAACAAAGCTTACATAAGTAAAAACAGCAATCAATATCCATTATATAAACATTTATAAAATTATATCATAAAACCAAATCCAAAAAAAAAACTACACCCAATCTTGTACTTAATACATTTACACCACCATTCCTATTCTCTTTTCATTCTAACGTAGTTTGTGATCAAATCTAAAATTCATAGTGTACATATAGACAAGACAAGTTAAATAAATATATTTAAATTTAGATTCGTTTTTAGAATATCAACTCGTACTGTACAAAGCTACATAACAGATTTCTATATAATCCCAGTAAAGCGCAAACGTATCAATCACTACAAGTTTACTCGAAAGTTGCTAGCTTGAAGTTATCTACAATAAATTTTATTAAATCCAAAATAGGTTTGTTTCCGCCCTATGCTTCTCTTTTCGCTATAATTCAACACTGATTTAGTGCAAAAAACAACAAAAAAAAAATGAAATATGCCGAAAACTTACACACACAACCAAACAGGAAAATTCAGAAATAAACATACATGAGAAACCATCTTTGTCATCTCAATATCCATTATTAACTAATCAATGTTTGTTTTTAATTTCAATTATTCGCCCACAACAACAAACAACAAACACATAGAGGGTACAAAGCCATTGGATGAATGGGAGCTGAATAAATTGGGTTCCATTATGCGAAGTGCTTTACACATTGTTGCGGCTCAGCATCGTGTCTTCAGTCTGGAATATGTCCAGCACATGTCCTATTTCTGGGATGTCATGGCCCTGAGCAACTACAAGTGTGGCGACAAGGAGCTAATGCAAATGCTGCACGCTCTCGAGTTCATACCCGACGAGTACAAGGAGATCTTTATTAACTACTACGAAGACTTTATAGCACCCAAATTTGTGGAGGAGAGCTATGCCAATATTCTGGATACTGAAGTGTAAGCAAGAATGGAATACAACAGCAGCAAAAACTATTACAACCGAAAGGACTAAAAGTAAACAAACCAACCAACCAACAACAAACAAAAAACACTAAAGCTAAAGTACATAGAAAAAAGGACTAAATGAAATTACAACAAACACACACGTCATGTAATGATAATATTCAAGGGAAAATGTAAACCATAGAACATCAAATTAGCAATGGACCTTTAGAGATTCAATTTTGTTATTGGAAATACATACATTTTTTGTTTTTGTAAAATATTACATTCCAAACAACATCAACAAACATGTTGAGTGCTAAACTTAAGCTGAGCAATAAAGGCGCGTGTATTTTTTATTTATTAAAAAAAAAGAAAAACAAACTAAATCACAAGAAGTCGAAGAAGACAAAGAAAATACAAAATGTAGCAAAGATAATAATTATGTATAGGTAAAGGACATACATACATACATTTAAATTTACAACAACAAAACAAACCCACAATGTTCACATAAAAATCGGGGACTGAAGATTGAAAAGTGCTACAATATTGCAAATGAGACGCATGCTTACAAGTTTTAACAGGTAAAATGATAGTTAAATTGGGCCGGGCCGTACTTTTTACACCTTTCACCATTTGGAGAATGAGGATGGAGGCTATTGAAAAACGTTGACCAATATAGAAATTGTTTTGCTACAGAAATTTAAGTAGTTCCGCTAAAAAAGGTGTCTAAAATCACCAAAATACCGAATATTAGGAAATACCCTTATACGGCGACTTCTAAAAACAATGTTCTGCCACTGAATGTAGAACAGTAGGTGAAAATTAACTTCCGAATTATAAACTATTCCGTGTGGTCAGCGAACAGCGAATATCGGTAGATACAATTATATGGGGCTATATGGAAACGTTGACCGATATAGCTCATCATCGAACTTGACTTGCCTGCAGACAAAAGACGACGCTATACTTAATCTTAGATTTCTATCACATGTCGTTTGGACTCTAGAGTGGTTACAACACTGCCGGGTAAGGCCAGCATCTGATCAAAAATATATTAACTTTGTTGGGTCTAAAATGATTATTCCGATGAGCTACAAACGGAATGACAAACTTTATGTATTCTCCTTACTATGTATGGGGCAGGGTATAAAAAAATCCATAGAAAACATCTGTAGCACGTACGAAGCAAACTGAAAACAAGTAAAAAAAACAGCTCAGCTAAGCTATACCCTCCACCATTTGGAAAAACTTTAACATTTTCAAAAAAAAATCGAAAACTACCACTTAAATGAAAACCGTAGTACCCATTAAGATCTTGTAATACGAAATTTGAAACGATTCTGGTGAAAAATGTTGCTGAGAACGTCAAAATACCGACTATCGGGGGGTACCGCTAAGTGGGGACCATACGAAGAACTTTAAATATAAAATTTGAAATAATGTTGCTAAAATCATGAAAATACCAAATATCGGGAGGTACCGCTATATAGGGACTATACATGATTACAACAGACAGACATACGGACATCGCTAGACCGTCTTAGAATTTTTGACTGATCCAGAATATATATACTTTGTAGGGTCTATAATGAATATTACGAGGAGTTACAAATTGAATGACAAAGTTAATATACCCTCCATAGAATGGTGGAGGGTATAAAAATGTGTGAAATTTGTTGTTCTCAAATTATGAACCCTAGGCTCCCCTTCGGACTTCCTCGGTGCCACAAATAGTTGTCATAGAAACTTACAGGTCATAACCACCAGTTTAGTCTTATAAACGTCGAATATCTTCTTTCCATTTCGAACCTTGAAAAATTATACACACATTCTTCTTTATTTTTTTAAGACAAACAAACATTCATCCTGAAAATTTTTTAAAAATTCTACTTTATTTAGATATAAAACTTTCATATCAGTAGTTTGGTGAAACTCTGCTTGAGAGTGGGTTACAGCTTTATTATACTCCCTGTAATATAGCTTAATTTTGCCTGCAATACCATATGGTTGAACAAATATTTTAATAAACAAACCTAATACATTTTGATTTTTTATGGCATAACTTTGAGGAAAGAGAATGTGTCTTAATAAATGTCTAGGAATGTTTGCGATTCATATCGATATTCTATACCGACCATGTATTTCCTTAGGCATACATACGACTTTTGAATTTTGTAGCACTTTTCAATCCAAGGAAATCAAAATTTAAAAAAAAAATACAATGCAAGCCCATTTATTCTGAATCACTCAAAGATATAACAACATCAGAAGCTATAACAAAATTATATAAAGAAACACAACTAGACGCCAGTTCATTATCCCCAACAACAACAAAAACTAAAGAAAGGAACAGCTTATTTTCTCATAAAATACAAAAACAACAATTATATATCCCAAGCAAAACAAAAAGAAACATTTTACCAATTTTGAGCTATATACAAACAAACATAATGGTTTATTTTGTTATTTATCTTATTTTATTTAACAAAAAAAAAAACAAAAACCAAAACCTAATTGATTACTGCTTAAAATAACTCAATCTCGATATAAATAATTGCAAATACATACATACGTATTAAACAACAAAAAATTATAACAGCTGGCATTCGAAGTGAATGCTAAGAGAAGAAGAAGAACAACAACAAGAAATATTATTCAAATTAACTTAAAATAAGCCTAGTTTTATATATAAAACAAAAAGCAAAAAATAAACAGAAGAGTATAACGGTTATTTTTGTTACATGAATTGAATGCGAAAGCGAATGAATAACTCATAACCTCAAACAAAAGAAATACACAACCGGTTACTTTAGGTAAATTGTTAATAATTTAAACAAATTTATTAAATCATAACAGAAAACATATATTTAAAGCAAAACAAAACAAAAAACAACAACTAAAATCCCATTTAAAATTAATAACAAAAAAAACAATTCAACACAAAATAAACTTTTTTGAGGCAATTTATGTAAATATGTTTGCATTACAACCGAAACCCAACAAACAAATAATGATTACTCGCATAAGTTTAAATAATAATACTACAACAACAACAAATAACAACCATCCACCATCATGAAACCAAAAAAAAACTATTCAAAATCGAAAAAAAATTATACTTCTATTCGCATTTCAAATTCAAGGCAAACATTAATGCAGTGCTGCTCAAAACATTTGTGACAATTAAAGTTCCATTAACGCAGAATCATTTTGCATTACTCCAAAAAAAGACCGGCCCTGTTGTGGGACTCTCAAACTCATTTTTTGAGTTACCGACAAACATCAATAGATTTAAAACGCAAAATCATGAATTAAAAGCCGATACTAAAGTTCACAGCAATTTTTCTAATGGAAGAACATAGAACAACTTTGTTTTTGATCGCCAACCTGCAGAAAATTGTTATCAGTAATTCTAAAAATGACTTAGGCAATCTTACTGCTGGGATGTGATCTTGTTCTATGAAAATATTAAATTCTTAAATCAGACCTACTAAGTGATAGAAAGGAACTAGTTTTTCGTCTCGTGATTGCCGACCAGGTACTCTACCGGTCTCTTAGATTAATTTTCTTCCAGCTTCTTTGACGAGAGATTTTTTGAAATAGCTGTCATAAAGGCTTGTTAATGGTTTAACAGTCTCATCAATCGGTGGATCAATCGTCAGTCAATAATTCAATAGATTCATCGATAATTCACCCCATTCCCCACTGTTACTATATCCTGGAACTCAACAAAGCTTAATTCAATCACTCATTTTCCTGAGGGTTGGCGATTTAAAGGCGCTTGTCTGGATAGCAGTAAGGGCCTGTTATGCCATAGCATAGTTCTTTTACTGTTTGGGCTGCATTCTTCGCCTGAAAAACGCTGCAACTGTCATTAAGCTCATATGAGTGTTTGTTTAATCTTTGGATAAGGGCAGCAGACGTCAACACCGGTGCCTTCAACCATCTTGGAACCGTCTGCATATATAGTCCGGCCGTCCGGAGGAGGTTCACCATCAGCCCAGACGTTCCTCATGAGTAATAAGATTTATGATTTATAGCAGTTTCTTAATTTCTTTAGAATGTATGGGTTTCCCAAACGCTTCTCCTTTTACATTGACTTTAATTTGTATAACAACAGTTTAAAAAAAGTCACAGAAGCCCTTACATTTTTATAAAATTTTGTTGTTGCAAAATTATCAGGCTTAATAAAAACAACGTTTATTTATTAGTGGAGAAGGATGGAAATGTTTACCAGGGGGTAAAAGCAGGGAATACCTAGGTTTCGGAAAGAACCACCAATCCTCATCCTTGCTTTTTCTTTGGGATATTCTCCCAAAAAACAAGGAAACTGATGAGGACTGGTGGCTCTCTCCGAAAACTAGATATTACCTGCATTACCCCCTAGTAAACATTAACATCCTTCTCCACTAATAAACAAACGTTCTCTTTATAAAAAAAACAACAATGGTGGAATTAAGCCCGAATATTTTACAACAGCAAAATACTACAGTATCCCGAACAAACATGCCAATACTGTTCTATTTTGATAAAATACATCAATTTACCATCAATTCAAAATGCTATTTATTATTTCTACTCTCAAGTAGGAATTCCCTTACAATTACAAAATGAAACACAAATTGGAAATTCCTTTCAATACAACTTTTGAACATTCCCGTTTGGTCTCTTGATTGATATAAATGTTTTAGGTACCACTGTGTGTTTATTTATAAAGCAATCGATATTTAATGTTTTGTTCCAATTATTTATTTTTAATTTTATAATCACAATACCACATGTAATATACAAGAAAAAAAACAATGTTTATGATAATAATATTCAGAACCGTTATCATTGCATATTAACAGATGACAACAACAACATGAAGAAAAACAACAACAACAACATAATGACAAAAAGGCTTTTTATTAAGTTCAGCTTCTAAGAAGCTTTAGTTTTTAGGCTTTTTTAATTGTATTGTAGCATATCAGCATAAGTAACGATTACTTTGTTATATTAATGAATAAATTAATTAGTAAAAGAAGCAAATGACAACAGCAAAATGAAAATCCAAAAAAATAAAAATTAAACCAAATTATAAACTACAAAACCCCTATACTAACGAAATGTATGCATATGACATGAAATGCGCAAGGCTCAGCCTTAACTCATAACTCATGAAGCGATAATGGAAGAGAGTGTTTAGAAAATTAACAAATTCTTATTGAAAAAAAAAACAAATCTTAACAAAATTACAAAATTCAATCTGTCAGTCACTCACAGATCCACTCAGTGCAGTCGATGATAGAAACCTCTTTTTTGGTTTGTTCTTTGTAATTTATTGCTTTCTGTTTTCCTTATTTATATGAAATTGAAAAACAAACAAAAACTTCTTTAGAATAATTTAGACAATGTTGTTTTGTTTTAAATTTTAGTCATAACAAATAATAATTAATTTAAGTAGGCGACAAACTCTAAATTATAAAAATAAGTTTATTTTATGCTGTGTATAAATTACTAATTCTAAATACTCATTTTGAAATAAAATTTAAATTTAAAACGAAAGACTAACTTTTCTAAAAGAAGCCAATTATTGAAATTATCCTCAAATGTAGGCAAATTGCAAAAGAAATTGTGTATTTTTGATTGGTTGATAGATTAGTTCGAACTGTGACATTGAATAAATCACTTTAAATAAATTTTCTCAACATATGACCTTTGAAAATCTTTTCGCATCAAAATCATTATATAACACCCACATCCTATCTAAGAATATTGGGAACTTTGAATGTCAATGTTTCTTATAACATTCACTCAGGTTGTCTGTTGCAAAATTTTAGCATCTAGATTTGTTATAGATGATGATTTTTATAGATTCTTGGGAAATCTCTTTTTAAAAAAAAGGTTTTTAGATAGTGGAATATTATCTTCCATATTACCTTCAATATCTGAGGATTTACCCTAGAATATAGAAATAGTCCAGTTATGGGTGCTTGTTATCTTTCATTTCCACTTCATGAGAACTGAGTTTTTCTTCATATTTTCTTTGTGGGTCTGATATTACACTTTCTTATTATCGTCAGCTTAATCAATTGTTTTTACCAAAGCCTTGGTGATTTGGGCTGGATATCTCTAAATGACCCTGAATGAAGATCTGTCACGGTATTCTATAATCAATTAATGTTCTGGCGCTTAGGGTTGTTTTGCTTTTTGGATTTATTTTTCTCCATTAATGATAGGAAATAAAATTAATGATTTGTTTACAAAAAAACAAAGATAGGCTCTCCTATCTTTAGGATAGACAAGTGTATTTCGATATCATGAAATTTGTTATTGAAACGTATTCTGTATAATTATATATGGTTTAATTTATTAAATTCTTTCTTGCATTATTGGACCATGTCGCACACTTACATTCTTTTCACGAGCAAAAACTATTAAAGTTAATGCAGGAGAAGATATAACATCCCCATTGATGTGATGGATAGTTTTTGGGTTTACTAGATGAGTTCCTAATAAAAAAAATCGCTAGATGATACATTTACAGCCAGTTTTAAAACGAAATCGATTTTCAAATAAACTTCTACTTCTAACACAATGTCAAATGTTTTTCAAAATGTAAAATATCGCAAGTATCGCGGACGACTGTTAAACATGAATATAGGCATGCAAACAATACATTTAGGTTGTGAATGACATATTTTCAAAACTAAACTTTCAAACCAACAACCAATCTTCGTACACAGCTACACTCATACATATTTTTGAATTTAAATTGCGTCTTTGTGAAATTCAATTCACTCGGCATTTTCTACACAGATTTATTGTCATTTCATTTTTATTTTTGTAACCTCAAAACAAATTTCCACCTTCCGAAATCCACCTCTGTCTCTCTCTCTCAAAAATACCAAAAGATCTACCATGAAAAGGCTTCAAACTTAAACGAATTTTTAAATGGTATCCCCTGTTTACATTCTACGACCGGTTACTCGCAATTATTGCTTAACTCTTTAACTTTTTGGCCAAACCTTACAAAAAAAAGATAAAACTAAACAGAAAACCAAAATAACAAAACTTTATAATCGAAATATTGAAAAGAAAAAAATTAAAATCAAAACTAATAAATCTCACGTAATTAATTTCTATATATACAAAACAACAAAAAGACGACCTCGCCTCGCCTCTTTTCTTCGAATTATTTCCTTTTCGATTTAGTTTTCTTTATAAAAACAATATACACCTGCAATGATATATAAATATTTGTATACTAGGACAAAATGATAATGATTACATTAAAAATGGCTCTTATGATATTTTATTTTGTGTAAGAATTTTACTTTTAGTTTAAGAATTTCGTTTTAGTAATTTAATTATTAATAATGTTTATACATATATACGCTAATGCTATACAAATCTCATGGCTCTCTGTAACGTCGGAGATACCAATGGCGATGACGATAAAGAAATGCATTATTTATGAATCATTTTGAAGAACCAATTTCATTACAAACAAATATATTTTAGCAAAATGAAAACCAAAACTATTTAACTGAATTTTTATTTAAATTATTTAACAACAAACAAAAAAGAAGCAACAAAACTATATAATAGAATTAATATAAAAAGGCATATATTAAAAAAAAAAACAAATGCTGATTACCAAATTCAAGAAAGAAAAAATTACAAAAAAAAAAAACAAAACGAAAAAGTACCGTTGATATGAAAAAATAATAAAAAAATGATAATGCAATAATGAAAAAATAAAATTTTTAACAAATTTAAATGCAAATCCAATAAACTTGTTTTATTTAATTGCAATTAGGTATAGGTGGTAATAATTCTCTAATGCTTGAAATCAACTGACGAAATTCTTCCAGAAAAATAAATACCTAAAAATATTTATTTTTTCTGAGCAAAAGTAGTCCTTTCTGCTTTACCAATAGGTTGAAAATAATGGGGTATTTTTTGAAATATACAAAGCAAATATAGTTATTCTATTTATTACCAAGTACTGAGTAACATCAGTATCCGACTTCAAAACCGAAGGTTGCGATTTTGAAACTAAACGTCGGCAAGCGATTCCTACTTTGGTTATGTATTCTTAATTTCTTCATGAACCTTATCTCATCTAATTAGCATTTGATTTCTTTTGTAGGATTTTTGAGATTTATTTTCTACACTATGAATCAACTAAGATACTGCGTTACTGTATAACAAAATGTTTCAAAAATTTGATAATTTCTAATTCATTTTTAAAATATCATAGGAACTGTGGCATTCTAAACTGAAAATAAAACGCGAAGACTAATCTATATGTCACAACTGATCTTTATAACAAAATATCTTTACAAATAATGAAACAAGAATTTCATTGAAATCACATTAACAATTAGATTGAATTTAATATTAGATTAGTGTTTTCTCTTTCTTAAAATATTCCGAACGATTGAGATGCGCAAATAAAACGGATGCCGCCAGACGTGCTTGTAATTCTTGCTGGCTTAAATCATGGGCCCATTCTACACGACCCCAAAACTTAAGCTGATATTCCTCCTCCAAACGAGCCAAGGTAACAGCTTTGTCGACAGCAATGCGTTGATCAATGGCGGCAAAAGCCAAAATAATCGATTTCAATGTATCAACAGCAAAAACGAAACCTGAAATTACATATATTTTAGAGCCACTTTCTTATTTAAATAGATGTCATTGATTTACCATATAAAACATCTTCACTGTGTGATAATAAATATTTGGAAATCTTCATCTTGTCTTCAGACGAAACTGTTGGCGGGGTTATGTCCATAGTTTTCTTAAGTTGAGTGCCATATCGTTCATTGAACCATTCAATCAATGGATCCCATTCATTTCGCTGCAAATCATGCAAATCCTTCTCGTCGTCATATTGGAATAGAATGGTATCCGTTGGGATATAATTTAGCAAGTAATTAACCATATCAATTTTTGTGTGATTATTTGGATTGTCAATGGCTGTAAAACAAAGGGCAGACAAATGCATTTTGGTCCTTTCTATGTGTTCCTTTTGGTTATTGAATTCTGTGGCAACAGCAATGGCTAAGGGTTCACTTTTCACCGTAAACAAAGTTCCTTTGGGTGTTTTCAATTTGCGCTGATCCAATGTTACCTCGTATTTGCCATCATTGTAGAGGACCGATGTTTGTTTGTAGAATCGTTTGATTGGAGCCGCTAAAGTAGAGGGAAGGGAGTGATATAGATAGTTGAATAACACATGTAACAATCAGCTGCTATTCTAGCCGGGTTGAAATTAAACAAATACTTACCATAACAACGTTTTATGGTATTTTGACTCTGCCTTGCAACATTTACCAATGTACGCGGTATCAGCTTACATAAATTGTTCATCATTTCATTCAACTTTTTCCACTCTTCCTTCCTATTGGTCTTACTGGTGTTCACAAATTGTTTTCCGTTTCGGAACGGATTAGTTCAATTGAACTATTCAATAATAGGAACCTGAGGAACCTTTACATCATGTTCTCATTGGAATTTGAACTAAATTGTTCCCTCTTAAAATCGCGTGCACTAATATGCGGTCATACGACATACATACTTTTTTTCATTTTTTATCTTTTTTTCTTTATTTATTTCGAAATTTGAACGAAAGTGTAGGAAATATGTAATGATAGGAACTAAATGATATATTAGTATTTTTTCAAAGAGTTTTTCCTCACAAACACACACTTTTTATTCAAGTTTTCTGTTTTCTTTGTATACAGATATGTAAGAAAATATAATAACGTTTAAAGGACGTTCAGTGGAAACCGCATTACATGAAATTGTACACCAAATCGAGAGCACTTTCCATAAAAAGAGTGTACACTAGCAGGATGCATTAATATCGAAGGAGCTTTCAATAATGTCAGCACAGATACAATCTTCCAATACTTGGGCAATTTTCAGGTCGACCCGGCCCTGAGGGACTGAATTGTTGTGGGCTATATGAAGTTAACATAATGGACAAAATTGGTCAAACAACTCCACAGGGGAGGATTTTATCACCATAAACAGCCTTCTAAGGACTTTAACCAAAGAAGGATTCGAAACAGTCTGCTATGCAGACGACGTTATAATACTTATATACCAGGTCATGCAGGAGTTAGAGGTAACGAGATAGCGAACTCTCTCGCCAAAACAGGCAGGGAATTAGCAACAGTTAACCTAGACAATCCAGTGCCGCTAAACGTGTCACGTCTAGCGTCAAAGAAATGGTAAAAAACTCCCACATATCCCTATGGAACAATGAAAATCCCAATGGCATAAACACGAGGAATATTTTATTACTAGGTAAGAAAGAGATTGGTGGGGTAACATGCATCTTTACGGGCCATCTGGGCCTGCAAGCTCATTTTTATAAAATTGTATGTGCAGATAACAGCATATGCAGGCCATGCGGGGAAGATGGCGAAACATTGGAACATTTTCTCTGCCAATGCCCAACGTTTGTAAATATTAGATCCCATTATTTATGGAACGACTCCAGACCAGACCATGGAATTTTTTAAGGCAACTTAATTAAGGCAGCATTGATATGTAAAGAAATTTAAATGTTGTTCCAAATATAAGTAGATTTTTATATGTTTTCTTATACGACGTCATTGGAAGGGCATTGTTGTTATACAACAGTTTGAAACAACTATACGAATATTTGTTGGCAGAAAATAATACAAATATCACAAATTCCAAGTATAGAGGTCTACCTGCTTGGCTTGTAATGTCAGAATTACTTTCAAAACAATAAAAAAAACTAACAATTTGTTGCATTGATTTTGAATAAATAATTTAAAGCCGCGAAAACTGAATGAAAGGTCAACATTTCTTTACAAAATCATGTTATATATATATATATATATATATATATCTTATGGTTTATTTTGCTATAAAAACTGTAATTTTGTCGATGCATACCTTGCAAAAAGCATTTTGAAAACATCCGAATTTGAATATTTTCTGAACCATTTTTTTATTATAAAGAATGCACATACATAAACAAATGAAGTTGACATATTAAGCCAGAAAAATAAAAAAATTAAAATCATATGGTAGTTCTGCCCTACCTTGAATTCATTGTACCATGCCAGAACCCATTATCAACATAATTTTAAAGCAAAATAAATATTTCTTGGCTTTGAGACGAAACTCGAAGATATTTTATATTTTTCTATCGGTCTTGCGCCGAACTAAAACATAAACGCGTACGACGTATGTGGCATTGCCATATTCCTTACCATTCTGCACTCTTGACATACGGCAACTACGCGCCACTTGTCAATACACAAAAAAAAGCGAAGTGGAGATTGAAGTGCAGGCTATTTACTAAGTTTCGATATTACCAAGGTTTAGCTGAAATTATTTTTGCAAAATGAGTGTCGAAGAAGAAGTTTTCAAAATACAAAAGAAGATGGGCAAAATCACAACCGATGATGGCACCGTAAGTGTTTGAAGAAAGCAACGTGCATTCAGCACTGCAAAAGATAAATGACAAGTTTTGGAGTAGATAGTGCGGTCGGTCGGTTTTTGAGTGCTGAGCGCATGAAGAAGAAAAAAAAGCGCCTTCTTGTGTCTGTTTGTTTTGAGAGGTACAGCCGCCTTTTACGAAACAGCGCGAGCAGTGCTTCTCAAACATTTTAATGTTTTCATTCACATTATGGATTTCTAATTCCGAATTTTTCGTTTGATTTATCACAGGGACAAGAGCAAGCGCTGGATCTATTAAAAGCATTACAGTCTCTAAACATAAATCTGGAAATTTTAACAAAGACCCGCATTGGCATGACAGTCAATGAGTTACGGAAAAGTAGCAAGGATGAAGAGGTCATAGCTCTAGCCAAAACACTTATTAAAAGTTGGAAGCGTTTCTTAGCTCCACCGGCTTCTGGTGGAAAGGATTCTAGTAAATCGAGTAAATCATCAAGTTCATCTAGCAAAGACAAGGAGAAATCATCTTCTTCTTCATCCTCGAAAGATAAAAAAGAAGAAAAGAAATCCTCTTCCTCATCGTCGTCATCCAGCAAGGATGACCGCAAATCCACACAGACCTCTTTCCCAGCATCTTCCGGCTTACATGATGCGGTGCGCATCAAGTGTCGTGAAATGCTCTGTAACGCCCTCAAAGTGGGTGAAATTCCTGAAGGCTGTCCTGATCCCGAAGAAATGGCAGCCGAATTGGAAGAAGCCATTTATGCTGAGTTCAAAAACACCGACATGAAGTACAAAAATCGCATACGCTCACGTGTGGCCAACTTGAAAGATCCCAAAAATCCCACACTGCGGGGAAATTACATGTGCGGAGCCATCACCGCACAGAAACTAGCCAAAATGACCCCCGAAGAAATGGCCAGCGATGAAATGAAGAAGCTGCGCGAGAAATTCGTCAAAGAAGCAATTAATGACGCTCAATTGGCCACAGTCCAGGGCACCAAAACAGATCTGCTTAAGTGCGGCAAATGCAAGAAACGTGATTGCACATACAATCAGCTGCAGACGCGTTCTTCTGATGAACCTATGACCACGTTCGTACTGTGCAACGTTTGCGGCAACCGCTGGAAGTTCTGCTGAAACCATCAAACTGCCTACGCCACCAGCATTGGAGACAATTTAACTGCAACCAACGACCGTACCATTAATTCCCTCTTAATGTTTTTTACTTTAAATTAATAATTTAATTAATGCGCGCTCGCTGTGCGCAATTTGTGTATTAGAAACCTAATTTCTGCTTTATTTTTGTAAGTTGTAGTTTTTAGTTGTGATGAGCACGTGTGAAAGAAAAACAAAAACAAAAAATATCAAAACAAACGAATGATAACATTTGTGAAGTATGACCGGGAATATATTTCTTATAATTCTGTAGTTTCCCAACAGACCCAAAGCAAAGATAAACAAAACAATATATTTATTTATTGTGAAATTATGAATTGAATATTTTGTCCTTAATTAGTAGACATTCAACCAATTATGTTCCCCCGATCCCGAATACTTCTTTATTTTATAACCGAGTTATCCTTTGTCTTTCCAATTCGGTTTTTGGAGAGTGAGATAAAGTCGTTTTGGTTTTATGCTAAAGAAAAACATTAGTACTTTTAAAATTGAGACAATTCTCAAAGTGAAATGTAAATCTATAAACTTTATTGAAAACAATAAATTACAAAACAAAAATTCAATTGGCTTTGAATTATGTAATAAAAACCTAAAGAAACATTAAGGAAAAGTTGACAATTCTATAAAAAGTGTGGCTTTATATTTATTGGATTTTTTTAGAAAACTTGGAAGTTCTGTAAAAAGTTGACTAGATTCTCGTTGAAGAATTCGGAGATTCCATAAAACGTTTGGCTTAAAAATTGTTTTTTTTTATCACTGATTATGTAGATTATCACTGAATGTAGCTGACATTACAAGAGAGAAGAGTAATTTTGACAATTTAAATTAACGACTTTTAAAATTGGGATAGTTTAGGCAAAAACAAGTAAAAAGGCAGCTAAGTTCTTTTAATAATCTCCACCATATCAACGAACATCAAAAATTAAAAAAAATCCGTAGAAAAATAACTGGCAAATTAAACCCCTTATGTGGGGGGCTATACGAAGTCCCTTCATAAGTAATTTTTTTTGTCATAGACTGTTGTACCCATTACAAACTTCAATTACGAAATTTGAAACAATTCTGGTAAATAATACCGCTAGATTCATCAAAATACCGAATATCGGTGGGTATCATCGCTATATTATGTGTGCCATAGGAAAACGTGGACATTAATATTCAAGCTAGAACCCATTAAGATCTACTAATACCAATTTTTAGACAAATCCTTAGTAAAATATGGCGAAAATCATCAAAATACTGAATATTTGGAGCAACCATTATGTGGGGGCTATACAAAAACGTGTACCTGTATATACTATGTTCTGCCACCGAAACTAGAACCCATTGCGAACTGCAAATACCAATTTTTGGAAAAATCCGTGAAAAAATGGTGGCTATACAAAAAATGTGGACCTATACATACAATGTTCCGCCACAGGGGCTAAGACCCATTATGACCTATGAATAACAATTTTTAGAAAAATCCGCAAAAAGTGTATGAAAAATTATTAAAATACGGAATATCGGGAGGTACCGTTATATGGGGGCTATACGAAAACGTGAACCTATACATACAGTGTTCCGCCTCATGACCTAGAACCTATTATGACTAACAACTACCAATTTTTAGAAAAATTCGGGGAAAAATTATCAAAATACCGAATATCGGAAGGTACCGTTATTTGGCAGCTAAACGAACACGTGGACTGATATATCTCAGACTCAATAAAAATTGTTGTGCCTAATTTTGAAGCTCTACGTCAAAAATGTGGGCTGTATCGTGATTTCAATAGACGGATATCGTTAAATCGACTTAGAATTTTATACTGATCATTATTATATATATACTTTATGGGGTCACGACGAATATTTAGGGATGTTACAAACTTAATGACAAAGTTAATATACCCTCCTTTTCAAGGTGTAGGGTAAAAAAAGCAGTCAGGCTATATTAGTGTTCGGCTGTCAAAAAGATGTAAACATCGCCAACTTTATATACCGCTATATGCCATAAAAATTATATATCCTATGAAATTCGTCACCAATTGTTTGCAAGAGCTTGAGTTTTTAAGACATATTGTGGTACGTGTGAGCTTATTGGTACGGAAATAACAATAACAATCACTTGGAGATCGGTCAATGTTTTGGGTTGATTTTTATAATATATCGCACAATTGCATTAGAATGATTATCTTCAAAATTTCCTGTTTTTTTTTTTTTTTTTTTTTTTTTTTGTATACCGTTGCCGTCCATATTTTGATCTAATTGGGGTAGATATAATGACCAATTTATAAATAATATTATATTTTTATTGTTTCCTTATGATGTGGTTATATAAATAAATTAAATTCGGCACGTGCTTCTTTCAAAATTTTTGGAAATATAAAATACCCGGTTGTAGGAACTTTAATCGGTTTTATTTGAAACTATTTTGCCAGTTTGCCCATAGCCGGTTATTTATTCTCTCTCAATATGTATTTTTCAAAACCAACTCTCACTTATACTACCAAAACATTGTACGATCGCTATCAGCACAGGGCCGAATGGAGGGGTGGTTTTATGACAGGCCTCTTAGAAATATACAATTGATCGGTGAAATCATTAATTAAAAATATTAAAAAACTGAGTATTATTAAAATTAATTTAAGAGGAATTTTCGAAAATCTATTTAAGTTTTGTTTATTCCCGTTATAGCACCCATATTCCCATAAAGATTTGGCTCAAGTAGAGTCGCCTTTTCGAATATTGTTTTATTTGATATTGATAATATATAACTCAAGAACGACCTTACCTATATGGCTAAAAATTGGCAAGGAGGTAACTTAGAGCCAGGAAACGGACATGGGATAGTGTTTATTCCGTAAATTTGGAATTCCTAAGTTTGGGATGAAAGAAAAAATGGGGTGTAGGATAGATGCACAATTTTTTTCGAACTAAAAGTAATAAAAAACATTTTATTTGGTTTCGTTTTGGTATTTTATAAACCAAGAGAGCTAAAATGTAGACATTTAATTAAGTTGGGAAACTAGGATTGATATAAGCAGGTGGTTTTTGAATGGTTTAATAAGTGGTACAATTTGGATTTAAGTGAACGAATGGAGCTGGAAATTTTAAATGTTGATATTGGATGCTGTGTTAATGCATAGGGTTGAGATTTGAAGTTTCGGAAATATGTACTAGAGAAAGGGATAGAGCTGGAAATGTGAATATTGTTATTAGGGTCACTTTTTGTGAGGGGGGAAGGGGGTTGATTTATGGAAATTTAAAGATCTTACAGGTTACCCTTTCAAAATAAGTTTGTAGAAAAAAGGTACTCAGTATATTTGTGTAGATGAAATTATACCCCCTATAGGACGCCAAAGACCACTTTTTTAAGAATTTTAGTTCAGTCTGCACCTATTTCATTGCTTTGAATATAAAAATCTTTTGTGCTTAGGCGTATTAACATGCCTTCTTCCATCCAATATCTATCATAATATTTATTTCGGTTAAATTGAAACATTAAAATCAACCTTTGATCAACCATTATAGCACAACAAATAGGGCCCCAGGGTTTGGTATTTTTTTTCAGCATAACCCCCTCTTTTCAAAATTGGTACGATGGAATATGAAAATAAACGTCAAACATACAACTGAGCTAAAGAGAAATGAAGACGAGCTAACAACAAGCAACAGATAACAACGGCAAAGCAGGCCAAACGTACGTTCGAAATACGTTACATTTTAGTGTGAGTTTACCTGTCGTCGTGTTAAGTTGTTTCGAGCGGAAACAGCGGCCGAAATCATTAAGTGAAACCAATTGGTGAGAAGCAGCAGCAGCCACAGCAATATCAGTAGTAATTTAACAAGAATTATACAAAAGAAAGAAAAGTACAAACAAAAAAGAAAAAGGTGTAGATACTTCCCAACATACTGGTGCTCGCAACAGCAGTAAAGCGGTTTTTGTGGTGTCCGTCTTGTTTTCAACAATTGAATTGTTGTTGTTTTTTTGTGAAATAGAAAAAGTGTACACGCAGAAAATAACTCAAGTGAAAATAAATTATGGCAAAAACCCCAGTACAGGTTGAAAGCAAACAAACGAAATACATACCTAAAATAAATCCATAAAATCCAGCAAATTCAATTTAATGCCTATAAATCATTTCGAAAAATACAAGAATACAATTTTACCAAAAATACATTAGAGAAGCGGTGCGAATCAATCGGCTAGTAGATAGCCAAACAGCCAGCAATCCCAACAACACTCAGCCGACAAATCAACCAACCAAAACGAAACCAGGAAGTGCAATGGAGTGCAAACACTAACCTGTTGGAAAATATGTGAAGTGACCCATTTATGTAACCTGTTTTTGAAATCCCAAGAAATGCAACCATAAAAAGATGAAATAGTCGACGTATGTCGTGTCTTGGCTGTCAGATTAACAGTTTTTCATATTAAGAAAAGAAAAAAAACAATGACTTGGAGGAGAACAAAGTTCTGCTACCACAAATTGTTACTTTGAGAAAAATTAGCATTATTTTTCACAAACTCGAAAATCGCGTCGTGAAGTACAAATGACGGGTGTTAATTGAAAATTGTTTTTTTTTATTTTTTTTTTTGACTTTTAAGATTTTGCAAATCCTAATGTTTGCTGGCTGTCTAGAATATGCGTGTCTTTTTATTTCTGTAATATTCTTAGTTGTTGTTTTTTCTTTTTCTTCTTGGCTTAAACAAAAAGAGAAAGAAGGTGCATTCACCTTAAACTAGAAGAGAACCGTACAAGAACAACAATAACAAATACACACTCAGCATAGAACTAGAAGTCGGACGAACAAGTAACAACACAGGCAACAACAAAATGAAGAAACCTGGCTTAATAGTTCTAAATAAATGGCTTAGAGAAAAGCCAACAACTCACCACTACTACCAATGCACGTAAGCCTCAAAACAACTGAGAGTAGACAATGGGGAGCATTGAACAAGAGAGGGAGAGAATATAAACTCATAAACAAAGAGATCAGACAGCAATAAATGGGAAAATTTCTCAATTTGTATTTATTTTCAATTTTATGTGGGGAACAGGGTTGGGCATATTGCACTAAATTTTTAGTGCACTAAAAATCAAATAATTAGTGGTAGTGCAATTTTTAACTCCACTACCACTAAAGGGTTAGTGGTAGTGAAAAATAAATTGCACTACCACTAACCCTTTAGTGATATTTAAAACAAAATTGCACTACCACTAAATTTTAGTGGTAGTGAAATTTTAATAGCACTACCACTAAATTTAGTGATTTTTCAAAAAAAATTTGCACTACCACTAAAATATGGCGAAGCCAAAAAAAGCACTATGTATATAAATATTATACCAGCTATAATGAAGTTTATTGAAGTGAGTACGGAACACCAATCCAGAATATATAGTACATATTCATAAAATTTGATTACTTTTCTAAATAGCACTAATTTAGTGCTATTTTTTATGAAATACCACTAATTTAGTGCAAGTTTTTTCAAATACCACTAAATTTAGTGGTAGTGCTATTGAAATTTCACTACCACTAAAATTTAGTGGTAGTGCAATTCTTTTTTAAATATCACTAAAGCGTTAGTGGTAGTGCAATTTATTTTTAACTACCACTAACCCTTTAGTGGTAGTGGAATTAAAAATTGCACTACCACTAAATGAATAGTGATAGTGAAATTATTAGTGCACTAAAAATACAGTGCATTATGCCCATCCCCACTGGGGAAGAATAAGAATACTTATCTAATTAAACAATAAAGAAGAGTTTTATAAGAATTTCACTTTAGATTCTATAGTTTAGATCCTATAATGGAGATTTTGCCACACATAGTTTAATTCTAAATAAATTGAATTATTTGAAAATGATTGATTAAAATTCACACAAAAAATAATGTGCCTACCCATATTCAGGCATGTAATGGAAATCGACTGGGATCAATTTTTGGAATCGCATTTGGATATTTTTTAGTGGTTTTGGATAATAAAAAGATATTTCGTTGGCATATTGATCTCAAAAAAATCTTTGAAGGGGGTATAAAGGAAGTTATAATATTCCGATTTTTACCAAAACTAGTCGAAATAATTTCCATCATATACCTGATTAATTTGAAATATCTAATTTTACAGATCGAATAATGAAGTCCAGTTTATATACGCAATAAATTAGAATGGCGACAGATATATACTCTTGTAAATTATGATTCTGGAGTCGATTTTTTAGGTGGGTCGATATATCTAAAATTTATACTAGATATACAAGGTGGCGGAAAGGATTCCACCTATCAGAAAATGCTATAAAAACATCGGAAGTTTAGGTGTGCGCTACCTTGTACATGCATATGTACTTGATAGATATTCCGATATTTTTTGGCTGTAATTAAGACATTAGGGGCCAATCGTAAACATAAAAGCATTTTCTGATTGGAGGATTACCCCACCTTGTATAAAAAAAATATAAATATAAGCCTCTGAGAAATATCAGAAAGTCAGATAGTCACTTTTGGAGGATACTCACTTTTGTGAGGGAGGCACTAAAAAGAATGAATCGATATGTCCTCTCTAGATCTAGTGTTGATGGATAATTTGACAAACAAATCTTTTATCGGTATGGTTATTCAAAATGTTGACCATTTGTGGTAGAGGTACCAAATTTCATACCCGACCTAACCTTTATCTGGATTTATTATTTTTTGGAGAAATTTTGGTATAAGAAAATGTGGACCGTATGGTCAAAATTCTCTCTAGATCTAGTGCTGATAAAAATGGAATGTGCCAGGTTTGATTAATTTAAGATTTCATAAGAGTTGGGGCTATTCAGAATTTCGATACTATGCTGGATGATAAAAATAAAACAATGTACCAAGTTTGAACAAACTAGGATTCTTTTTCAGTTTCTATAAGAATTATAATTTTCTATATTTTTCTCAATTTGTGGGGGTATCAGAAAAGAACGAGTTGGCCAATTTGCCCCATCTTCGAACTCGATCTAAGTTGGATACAAATATTGGATTCAAGCTCAGGAGCACATATTTTACGTTTTTCCTCAGAAAGTTTAATTTTTAAACAATGCACTTTTTATAGTAGAAAGAACAGAACCAACTAACGTTACAATAACAAAAAAAAAAAAAAGATGATAGGTGCAGTAACCTGTTGTAACTACAAGACGGCTAAGTAATATAATAAATGCAAACCAGGGAATTGCAGCAAGAATACAAACGGAGGAGACTTTAGCTGACAACCCGGTTTAAGAATTATGTTCGTTTGAGTTGCATGCCACAAGATACTCAAATAAATATGTTTGTGAATGTGTATGTATGGGTGCAATTGCAACAAAACACCATGACAAGAACAAAAACCTCAACAACAACAACAACAGAAACAAGTACATAAACAATAAAAATAAAACATCAACAACTTACCCAAGAAACAACAGAAAATACACTTAATTAAATTTTAATAAATATCTGCCTTGTCCGTCGTGACATATCCGGCCGTGGTTGGAGAAAGAACATCATCGTAATACCGAACGTGTGTTTAAAACGCGACTAACTTGTTTCGAAACGTAAATACGCGTATCATATCTAATTATGAACTGAAAGAAAAAAGAAACAGAAAAAATTGCCGAAGAATATAATATACACATATGTAATTGTATGGATTTTTAATAATAATATGAATTTCAATTCAAATTTTTAGTGAATTCTAAAGAAAAATAAATAATAGCGGATTAAATAAGCAAAGATCATAAATGAGCAGTACTAGGTTGACATAAGGCTGGAACATTAGCAACCTCTACAGGAAGCAAGGCAAAACTCGAAATTCTTCTTCGTTCATCAAATTTCTCAGTGGTAAGTTTTTATTTTCAAAACACACAAAATCTATCAATGTAATTGTACTCAACCAGTCAAACTTTGTCTGAACTTACAAACAATACCCACTTATTTATATTTTCTATGAGCCAAAGTGGAGAAATTTGTAACGTTTTTATTTTTTTTGTTTATTGACTTTTTGTTTACTCTTCTTCTGTCGCGTTTCTATGAAGCTTTCTTTGATAACAGTAAATTGTTTAACTTGTCGAATTTGTCTGCGTTTTACCTTCGTCGACCCGCTCAATGAGTTTCTTTCAGTGGGCATTGCTTTGGAAAGACATACAAATTTTGCCTTTGTTCCACCATAATCAATCTTTCCCATTTGTCTTATGTCTCATCTCTGAGGTTTCTTTGAGAAACAGAAAAAAAAAAAACAAATCGAATTTTGCCGCCTCTTTTAAAACCAAAACATTGAGTTTCAACATTTTCAGTTGAACCTAATGAACCTAATGAAAGCAAATTTAACACAGAAACCTGTAACAAGTGTTTAGAAACAATGTTGTCAATTGTTAGATTTCTATAAAAACTATACTTTGAATAAAACATTTCTATTACTTTATTTAAATTCTTTGATAAGCAACGATTTGAAAAATATTTGCGTAAACTGAATGACTCACTTGTGTAGAATTTAATTTTCTTACCACAATTTGTGCGACAGAATTGAGATGGGATTAAAAATCCATCCATTCCATGATATTCGATATAAAATCGCTTAATTAGCATCACTTATTAGAAATCTCTGTTTATCTCACCTTCCCAAGTTACAGCCGCCAGTTAAAGATCAAAGTCATTCACAGAGAGCACACAAAACAGACATTTAACTTGAGTAAAGTTTACTCAGTAAACATTACAAATTCTCAAACGGTCTCTGGTCAAGCGAGACCGAGAGACACAACTTGCTGTTGTGTGTCATCTTTCCGAGTAAATCCGAACCAACACCATTATTATTATCAGTCATGTGAGATTTTAATTGTTTTTTAATGTTTTTTTTTTTTTTTTTTTTTTTTTTTTTCAGAGGTTTCAACATAGGTTCAAATATGTTGCCTCTCATTTTGTTTCCTTAGAGTAAAAAAAATAAAAATAATCAAGAATAGGAAGAAGTAATAAAATATAGAAAAGACAACATAGGACAAAAGAACGCAGAGTGACAACTTGTCATAAATGTTAGCAAGTCTGGTTTTTTGACGGAGATGACAAACAAACCTATCCAGATTAAGAAACTAAAAATATTTTACAATTTTCAAACACCTGGACAAAAACATAGTCGATTAGACGATTCACGTAAGTGATTAAGTTTTTCGGTTAATCATACCCATACAACCCGAAAACATAAAAAAGACAAATGTTTTTATTTTGTCTTCAATCGCTTACATTCAATCACTCATAATTCATATGCACGTGCACTTTCGTCTGCTCTCTTTTTGGCCAACCCTGCTCAACATCCAGTGTCGGCTGATTCAGAAAGATACCTCAGCTAGTTAAATAGTATCAGTCTGTTTTGTCGACAGGTGTGTACCCACAGCTTAGAGTTATGACTATTCTAACTGTTGACCCTTTTTGGGGAGATCCAAAAGCAGTTGGCCAATATTATCCACTTCCTATTTGACCTAAGTCACATATCGTCCACTTCCTATACTTTATATGAGGCACCAGATATAGCGGACCGAAATATTCCACTTCATCTAATACAGATAAAAAATATTGGTACTTGCAGTATTTAAATGAAATCGAACATTTATATCCAATTTTATTCGAAATCATAAATTCCGATTTGCAAGTTGTATAGAATCGCCGACTTGTTTCGCATGTATGACATATATAAGTATTGGAAATTGTGACCCTTTGTAGTTGAGCTACCAGAACGGGTTGGCAGTTATATATCATCTTAACAACACATTTTGCGTTAGCAAAAATGTTAGGATGAGTGAAATTTGAAGAGAACCGGATACTTATTTCGTATTTTATGATCGTTTTGGTTATTCAAAATTTTGACCCTTTGTGGGGGGAGGTATCAGAAGAAATGATCAGATCTCCATCTTTATATCAGATCTAGTGTTGATAAAAGTATTGAGATTTGCCAAGGCTGAATGGAATCGGATGTTAATTTCGCGTTTTTTTAGCTTCATGTATATTCAAAATTTTGAGCCTTTGTGGGGGAGGTACCAGAAAGAGCGGACCGATTTATCCCATCTTCACAGCATATCTTGTTTTAGTTAAAATAATAGTGTGTGTGAAATATGAAACGAACCGGATGCTTATTTCGGTTTAATAATGGTTTTGGTTATTCAAAACTTTGACCCTTTGCTGGGGAGGAACCGAAAAGAGTGGACCGATATATGCCATCTTCACACCGGGCCTTGGGTTAATAAAAATATTGTGATGTGTGCAATTTAAAAACAATCAGACTCTTAAATCACATTTTATAAGAGGTATAATTATTCAAAATGTTGACCCTTTGTGGGGGAGGTTCTTTATGGGAGTGAGCCGATATTTTCCATTTTCGCACCTGACTCAGCACTAATGCAAATATTAGGATTTGCAAAGTAAGAGAAAAATCGAATTATCCGGGAGGTACCAGAAGGAGTGAACCAATATTGAAAATATTTTAATTATTGCGTAACATTTGTAAACAATTTCAAATCGGCAAGAAAACCGCTGATTTTTCATTCGGGTGATTATAATTGACTAATCTTACTGAGAACATTTTCCCAGTAAGAATTTGTAAACACTCAGCATAGACAAATTAGGTATAGACCAAAAAGTTGTCTCATCTGTTATCTCTGAAAAAAGTGATTCAATAGATGTCGTTCATGCTGTGAGAGAGGTTCAGTAGACTCACTCAATTCTCTCAAAATACAAAATATTAAATATTTTTATGATTCTTTATTATTTATCAATTAAAAACGAAACATCGACTTTGTTTACTTTTACATTATCCAAATATGTCGTGAAATATAAAAATATAGAACTTAAATAGCAGAGAAATGAATAAATTGTTTTCGAAGTCAAGTGACTGCTAGTGACCTGAGTGATTTAACTGAGTGATTTAAGATCAACCATAGTGACATCTGCCGGAAGGGGGAATTTTAAAACTTTTTAATCTATACCTTTATTTGTCTATGCACTCAGTAACTAAACCAGTGCTGATAAAGAACAAGAGCTCTCACTCTCTCTCTCCAGTCTAATTTTTCTCGGTGTTTTTTAAATCATCAACAAATAAGTGTTAAAACATTATACTTTTTTTGTATCTGTACGCTTAATAATTAATACTAGACAACATTTATGTTGAAAAACAATTAGAATTTTACTGTTGCAAAATGGTCAGGCTTAATCCCTTTATTGTTTTTTTTTATAAAAAAAACGTTTGTTTATTGGTTTTATCTTAAATGATCTCTGTTTTGAACAGCGAGACCAGTGGATGCTCGTTTACTAGACTTTTGGCTTATCGAAAATCGTTTGTATAAATTATTACAATTTATTGGGTTATTGTACACATCTAATACCTTTTTTTGCTGTTCTTAATAGAAATAAGGTTTTTCTAAAAATTAAAAAAAAAAAGTTAATACAAATCTCATATTTAAGCAAACTCAATGCCTCATCATGACGAATACAAAACAAGTTCTATTGTTTTTTAATTCTTCTTATTTTAAATTACGCTAATGATTTAAGCAAACCGGTCAGAGGTATTTGCATTTCAAGTACAAATATAATAACGTCATCCATTGAAAATTAATTATTTGAACATTTCTATTTGCAAAGGGTTCACTTGGTTCATTTTTATAAAAAAACAAACTATGAGAACCGATCATTCTAAAAACCTACCAATAAGAAAAAATAAAATAAAATAAATAAATAATAAAAAAAAAATATCTTACGGATAGAGCAAAACAACCAACAATCAAATACCTAAAGTTACAAAAGTGCATGGCGCATCTTTGAGTAGCAGTCGCTGGCGCTGCATTGCTTAAAACTTTCACTAGATGCTTTACCTTGTTGTCTTCCACATTCATTTTGTGTGTTTGAAGATGTCTGACATGGGAAAGACGCCGTGAATGAAATAATCTCATAAAAGAGAGAAGTAGTCTTTAGATAACCATTGCCAGTAGGTATCTATCTTTATATAGAATTTGGGGGTCATTTCGAAATCGTTTCAAATCAAAATCGAGAAAAAATATTTAAAAATTAATTCAAATGCTAATCTGTCAGTTTGAAAAATGCATTTACGATTTTCTTCATTCATTTCATTATTCATGTTTGGGGCTGGATGCTGGGTGGAGGAGATCCCCTCCCCATTTGCCTTCACACAATGAGACATTCGTATAAGTTTATTGTATGGCCTTTTCTCATTTTTGTTGATCTGTATGACTTGCTTTTTATCACTTCCAACTGTTTACCTTTCATTTTTTTCTTTTTATGTAGGTATATTGTCATTCGTTTCTTCGTTTTTTACTATTTTTACCACAACAACAGCAGCAGCCGCAGCGACAGCGACAGAAGAAGAAATCTGTTTTCTCGGTTTATTTTTGTCTCTTGTCATTTGTTTTGTGTGATGTGTTTTTTTTTTTGTTTGCTGCCATTACGAATTCATTAAAAAGCCAAAGGTGGCAATGATAAAGATTATGTGATAGACAAGTCTCAAAAACGTGCTTGAAAGTGAAATTATTTAAAACCTAATCGCTGCTGCTTATAACGTCCGAGGCTGAGCCATAATGCAATCAAAGCCATGCAGCAGCAGCAACAGCAAAACAGAGAAGAGACACCCATGCACATGCCCCAGCATTTCATCCATTGATTAGTAGGAATTGACGTTTTTCCCCATATAGATAGTTTAGAAAATAAAAAAAAAAAAAAAAAAAAACAATGAATGATATAATAATTATTTTTAAATATTCTTTGAACAGATACCAGAGAGTCAAGTTAATGGCTTGGATGGATAAAGGGTCGTTGATAATTATTTTGTAGAGACATTAATTATAAAC